TCATAAACCCTGATAGTACCCTAAATATGCATCCAAGGTGAACTGAAATCTAAACATGTTGGGTCGTTTTCACAGCTCTCTATTTCCTTACAACCGGTCAAACTGATGTAATTTGGTAATGTTGCACAGAAAATCGTTCCCGTTTTTTTTTTGTTCTTGCATTTTCTCCCTGGTCCCTAAACGTCTTCGCTCTGCGAAACAAGCAGAGATGACAGAGAACTTTACTGATGTCAACTAGATTGAAGCATTTATTCTATAGATCTATGACATTATTCTGCTGAGTAAGGGTTTATTTAGTCTTCTAGGGCAACATATAATGACAGAAGAGAAGCTGCATGTATCTAATTATAGACAAGTTGACTAACAAATAGCCTACCAAAATGTCAGAAATTATAAGCAGAAACATATCTAAATCAGGCAAAAAAAATCACCACTCCCTGTCAAAAATCTTTTTTGCCATCTCTGACAGTATCCTACAATGCATTTTCTATATTAGCGGGATAGGGTTGGGTGCGGGCCTCAGATTTTCACTTTATCACATATAGTCGGGCGGGTGCGGATTGGTTATTAGCAATTGTCGGCGGGTGCGGGTGAACAAACAGCTGGCCCGCGCACCACTAATGCACATGCTGTTCCCTTTTCCCACTGTTGCAGTGCATGCTGACATTTGTATATTTAAGTAGGGACTCTTATACAGAGATACAAGTTACTGCTGAAATAACTTTGCCTCGGGCAGATCTGTGAATATGCTTTAGCTCAACCTGCTTGACCCATCCCAATAAAGAGCAGTATGCTTTATAAGATAATAAGAACTCTCTGGACCCTCTCTAGTAAAGATGCCCTGAAGGCAGCAGCATCTTCTTCAACAAGTAGTGAAGCTCCTCCCACTACATCCTCGACATGGAAGCACTTAGTGGTGGCGTAGTCTACATTTTAACCTACAGTCACAAAACCACTTTCCTTTGATATTTTTGGGGAGAAAATGATATTTGTATTTATTCTTCTCTGTGTATTATTCTGTTGTAGCTCTAGTAGTCAGATATGGTTGTGCTGTAAAGCCTCACATAATAAGAGCTTATTGGGACCTTGCAAAAGGTGTGATAACACATTGTTGAATATTGATATCAATTAATGTTAAAGTTGGAGTACACTGTCCTTGGCTTAGGTTTATAAAATGTTGTGGAAAACATGGTTGCTGTGGAAACTGTAAAGCGTTCCCTAAGGCAGTTCCAATGTTGTGCTTCCGTCCTCCTCCCCCTACTCTCCCCCCTGCCTCCCCCAGCCTGCCTCACCTCCCACATTCACCCAGGCGTGGGTGGGTTGACGCTGGCCTAACCCCCCACCCCCCCAGCTGGAATGAGGACGATTATTCAATTGCTCCTTTAAATTAGTGGTTGTGTACAGAATAACAGTTGTGTTGGAGCGGTGACATTGTCAATTAGAGATGCACAGTGGTAATAAGCACAGGCAGGAAATTAAATAGATTACTTATGAAACATTCTTTTGTTGACGCATGAGTAGGTTAACAACTGTAAAAGATGCACTCCTGACTCCTAGAATGTGGCGGTCATTACCATGTAAAAGGACCCATGAGCACCAAAATGTGAAGTTCATAGGAGCATGTCAAATTGTTGTCAAATTAAAGCTAAGAGTCTATCTTTTTGAGAAATTAAGGCATATATACATTTTTCAACCATTTTCCATCCTAAATATTTGGAATAAGCAAAGGCTTTGATTTCTGGTCAAACAGATGGAAAAGGTGTCTTAGAAAACATCTACCAGAAAAAGTCTTAAAAGGCATTAGAAATACATCAAAACATAATAATGTTGAAGTAAAGACCCTTGCCAACTAATATCAACACTTATATTTAGTTTTGGAAAAAATGTTCTGCCTGTAAGTTTAAGAAACTCTGCCTTGTGCCTTGATATTCCATTACCAAAAACCCACACATACTCTACATGGAAGCACTTAGTGATGGCGTAGTCTACATTTTACCCTACAGCCACAAAAACACTTTCCTTTTATATTTTCTGGGAGAAAATTATATTTGTAGTTATTCTTCTCTGTGTATTATTCTGTTGTAGCTCTAGTAGTCAGATATAAGGTTGTGCTGTAAAGCCTCACATAATAAGAGCTTATTGTGACCACATTGTTATCGCATTGTAGCTTCTCTTTTATTGTGGAGTGTAGAAGTCTGTTTTCAGTGCTTTATGATGAATGAGCTCTAGTAGTGGGTCAACTCTATGGAGTAGAGAATTCAGAGGTGATGAACACACACACAGAATTCAGAGGTGGTTGAAACACACACACACAGTGAGCAGCCCTCTACACAAACTCCTCAAATAACTACATCTGGGTAGCAATTCTATAGGGTGTTCCTTCCGTTCCAGATTTAGAGTTATTGTACAGAAAAACTATAACATTTGGAAATGTTAGTGCTGAAACAAGGTTTAGCATCATTGACTGACTGAGGACATTATATCTGCATTATTACTGATACAGTATATCTATCTATGGTTGTGATTTGACTAAACCAGTTGGCTTGAACAATTGAACAGTTGAAAAAAAATTTTTAGGGGGTAGATCAGCTTTAATATTACAGATAGATTGTAACTTCCAACAATGTAATTGTCTGCATCACTTCCAATCCCCCATATTTTTTCCCCCCCGCATATATATATAGGGGGAAAAAGTATTTAGTCAGCCACCAATTGTGCAAGTTCTCCCACTTAAAAAGATGAGAGAGGCCTGTAATTTTCATCATAGGTACACGTCAACTATGACAGACAAATTGAGCATTTTTTTTCCAGAAAATCACATTGTAGGATTTTTAATGAATTTATTTGCAAATTATGGTGGAAAATAAGTATTTGGTCACCTACAAACAAGCAAGATTTCTGGCTCTCACAGACCTGTAACTTCTTCTTTAAGAGGCTCCTCTGTCCTCCACTCGTTACCTGTATTAATGGCACCTGTTTGAACTTGTTATCAGTATAAAAGACACCTGTCCACAACCTCAAACAGTCACACTCCAAACTCCACTATGGCCAAGACCAAAGCGCTGTCAAAGGACACCAGAAACAAAATTGTAGACCTGCACCAGGCTGGGAAGACTGAATCTGCAATAGGTAAGCAGCTTGGTTTGAAGAAATCAACTGTGGGAGCAATTATTAGGAAATGGAAGACATACAAGACCACTGATAATCTCCCTCGATCTGGGGCTCCACGCAAGTTCTCACCCCGTGGGGTCAAAATGATCACAAGAACGGTGAGCAAAAATCCCAGAACCACACGGGGGGACCTAGTGAGTGACCTAAGTAACCACTGGGACCAAAGTAACAAAGCCTACCATCAGTAACACACTACGCCGCCAGGGACTCAAATCCTGCAGTGCCAGACGTGTCCCCCTGCTTAAGCCAGTACATGTCCAGGCCCGTCTGAAGTTTGCTAGAGTGCATTTGGATGATCCAGAAGAGGATTGGGAGAATGTCATATGGTCAGATGAAACCAAAATATAACTTTTTGGTAAAAACTCAACTTGTCGTGTTTGGAGGACAAAGAATGCTGAGTTGCATCCAAAGAACACCATACCTACTGTGAAGCATGGGGGTGGAAACATCATGCTTTGGGGCTGTTTTTCTGCAAAGGGACCGGGACGACTGATCCGTGTAAAGGAAATAATGAATGGGGCCATGTATCGTGAGATTTTGAGTGAAAACCTCCTTCCATCAGCAAGGGCATTGAAGATGAAACGTGGCTGGGTCTTTCAGCATGACAATGATCCCAAACACACCGCCCGGGCAACGAAGTAGTGGCTTCGTAAGAAGCATTTCAAGGTCCTGGAGTGGCCTAGCCAGTCTCCAGATCTCAACCCCATAGAAAATCTTTGGAGGGAGTTGAAAGTCTGTGTTGCCCAGCGACAGCCCCAAAACATCACTGCTCTAGAGGAGATCTGCATGGAGGAATGGGCCAAAATACCAGCAACAGTGTGTGAAAACCTTGTGAAGACTTTTGACCTGTGTCATTGCCAACAAAGGGTATATAACAAAGTATTGAGAAACTTTTGTTATTGACCAAATACTTATTTTCCACCATCATTTGCAAATAAATTCATTAAAAATCCTACAATGTGATTTTCTGTATTTATTTTTCTCATTTTGTCTGTCATAGTTGACGTGTACCTATGATGAAAATTACAGGCCTCTCTCATCTTTTTAAGTGGGAGAACTTGCACAATTGGTGGCTGACTAAATACTTTTTTCCCCCACTGTATATATATATATATATATATATATATATATATATATATACACATATGCATACATAAACATACATATACAATTGCTGAACTATTAATTGATTCAGTGCCTTTGACATTCAGATGTAGATAAGGGGTAGTTTGACGACGGGACGCAGATGAAACACACACGTGCACTCAGTGCTGTGGAGCAGAAGACTGGTTACCGTGGGAACACTGTGAGCTCCTCTGCAAAGAACTCTGTGGGCGAGAGAGAATAGAGAGAGAGAAGAGGAGAGGGTAGGAGTGAGACCAGGAGAGGAGTGAAAGACAGGCAATATATGGAGAGAAAAGAGAGAGATGGAAGAAAGCCGCTGAAAAAAGAGTGAGAGTCATTTTTAATTGGAGGGTAAGCTACAGGTCCCTTCAGTTGGTAAAGTTGGGCCACTATTTCTGTGGTCAAATGACATAAGGGATCATTATACTTTTCACACTAACTAACTGATCCTGTGACAACTCAACATAATGTCAGCCTCTTGAGTGAATCTGTCACTGGCTTCCCACCTCTTCTCCTCTTAATGAAACCAAATTGTGTCTCTCCATACAACCACCAGAAAACACATCGGATAGGTAAACCACCCAGCCATCTTAGGGTAGTACACACAGTGGTGTTGTAGTTTACTCTGCTAGAGAGGTCCAATAGAGATAGCATGTGCTGCTGCTACATAGATGGAGTCAGTCGGCTGGCTGGTAACTGTAACCATGCCCCTCTTCTTCTCTGGCGAGCGAGCGCTGCTATCGCCTAGCACTCAGCGCCAAACGCCCACACAGGCAGTCCGCGCTGTTGCCAAGCAGCGGGAGATTCGGAGCCCAGAATCGGGGGAGGGGGTATGAAAAACACTTAACTTTAGGCTAGAGGCAGCGCACACTGCAATAGTGGCCATCTAAACATCTCTCCTTCTCGGGGGGGGGGGGGGGGGGGGGGGGGGGCAAGGGTCACACACTGGAGGTGGTATGACGCAGTAGGCTCCCACATGCATGCACTCTTATCTGTGGACAGTGAATAGAAACGTTGAAATGAAATGGTTTTTCAAGAGGTTTGTGCTTTAGTTGGGTAAAATAAGTTTGTGCCTGGCTACTGGCTCAGGATAGTGAATGTGAATCCTTACTGGCCATGAACTGTACTGTGTATCAGAGTTTAAATGTTCAAGATTGTCACGTACGTTAAGAGACGGATCAGACCAAGGTGCAGCGTGAAAGGCGTACATGTTTATTTAACTAATAAACACACGACACAGTAACCAAAATAACAAACTTAACCGTGACGGTCCAAAGGGCTAACACACAAGCCTAAACAGGAACACAACAAGATCCCACAACACAGGCAGGAAAACTGGCTGCCTAAGTATGATCCCTAATCAGAGACAACGAGCGACAGCTGCCTCTGATTGGGAACCACACCCGGCCAAACATAGAAATACAAACCTAGAATAATCACACCCTGACCAAACTAGCTAGAGTTCTATAGGCCAGGGCGTGACAAAGATATACAGTACCAGTCAAAAGCTGGTTGAGAGAATGCCAAGAGTGTGCAAAGCTGTCATCAAGGCAAAGGGTGGCTATTTGAAGAATCTCAGATATAAAATATATTTCATTTGTTTAACACTTTTTTGGTTACTACATGATTCCATATGTGTTATTTCATAGTTGTGATGTCTTCACTATTATTCTACAATGTAGAAAATAGTAAAAAATTAAGAAAAACCCTTGAATGAGTAGGTGTGTCCAAACTTTTGACTGGTAGTGTACGGTGTGAAACAGGTGGTTGTGTAAAGATAATGACACAATGGGTAAGCTGGATACATTCATACTGTATGTTGTTATGAGTTTTTGTCTTCCTCTTCCCTCTCCTCTATAGATAGATAGCTTCACCTACACACCAACACCTCCTGACACTCTATTTACCCTGCTGTGTGTTGGAGGAAGTCCTTTATTTGTACCGTGAACACCCCTCCACACATCCTATTTCCGTTCCCTCCTCCACTTCTAACTCTCCTCTCCTCTCTTCCACTCCTCTTCTCTTGATTATTTTCACCCCTTGGCCTCCTCCGTATACAACCTCTGTGCCTCTCCTGTACTTCTCTCTCTCCTCCCACTCTTCTATTCCTCCCTCCATCCTTGCTGCCGTAAATACACATCACCTCTGTGTCTCTCTCCCTAGTCACTCCTCCCTGTGTGCTGCTATCCTTGCCTTTCTTCACTCTCTCTGCCCTCCCTCCATCAAATGTCCTCTTCTGTTAGTGTGCGTGTGTGCATGTAACAATATAACATACCCCCTCTGTTCATGTTAATTTTCATGTGACTGTTCATGTTACTGTTCATGTTACTGTTTGATATACTGTTCATGTTACTGTTCATGTTACCCTTCATGTTACTGTTCATGTTATGTTACTGTTCATGTTACTGTTCATGTTACTGTTCATGTTACCCTTCATGTTACTGTTCATGTTACTGTTCATGTTACTGTTCATGTTACCCTTCATGTTACTGTTCGAGTTACTGTTCATGTTACTGTTCATTTTACTGTTCATGTTACTGTTCATGATACAGTTCGAGTTACTGTTTGACTTACTGTTCATGTTACTGTTCATGTTACTGTTCATGATACTGTTCATGTTACTGTTCGAGTTGCTGTTCATGTTACTGTTCATGTTACTGTTCGAGTTACTGTTCATGTTACTGTTCATGATACTGTTCATGTTACCCTTCATGTTACTGTTCATGTTACCCTTCATGTTACTGTTCATATTACTGTTCATGATGCTGTTCATCTTACTGTTCAAGTTACTGTTCATTTTACTGTTCATGTTAGTTAAGGATATGCTGCTAATGAACAGGAGTCAGGAGGCCTCTCTATGTAGGACATACTGTATGCTAGCTAGGTCTTGCATAACAACATCTGCTCTGAGATCTCACTTCTTCCCTTAGAGTCAGACCCCAGGCTGAATAATCATGACTATTCTAGAATTATACTTTTTTACGGTTTAATAATTGGTGTAGCAGGACTAATATGTCATGACATAGTAAAGTAGGGTTCACACAGATTTGGGCAGAAGCCTTTCTTTCCCGTGGTGTTCTACTCTGCTGGCTTCCTCTAAAACATTGGAGAATTGCCTTCATATTTAGGCAGAAAGCATTCTCATCAGTACTGAAATAATATTTAGACAGAAAGCTTTCTCATCAGTACAGAAATAACTGTAAGTACTGTAACCTGTATTTAATCAGTATAAATAAGGATGTGCTGTGATCTCAGCTACCACATTCAGCACTATCAAAGCCACTGCTGACAGGTTGTTCTGATTTAATTGGAACTCTTATCATCATCCACGCTACGCAAACCAGCGCTGCTGCCTCTGCATAATTATAATCTTTAGTCATTTGTAACCTCTTTCATTCTCTCCCTATGCCACTATCTCTCTGTAACGCAGCGGTTCCCAAACTAGGGGTCGCGACCCCATGTGGGGTCACCTGATATGAAAATGGGGTCGCGTTAGAATATATATACAGTACCAGTCAAAAGTTTGGACACACCTACTCATTCCATTTTTTTTTATTTTTTTTTACTATTTTCAACATTGTAGAATAGTAGTGAAGATATCAAAACTATGAAATAACACATATGGAATCATGCAGTAACCAAATAAGTGTTAAACAAACACTCTTGGCATTCTTTCAACCAGCTTCATGAGGTAGTCACCTGGAATGCATTTCAATTAACAGGTGTGCCTTCTTAAAATTTAATTTGTGGAATTTCTTTCCTTCTTAATGCGTTTGAGCCAATCAGTTGTGTTGTGACAAGGTAGGGGTGGTATACAGATGTCATGCGTCAGTGTGTAGCGGTAGGACGGAGTCAGGCGCAGCACACAGAACTTAGTAAACGACGTACTTTACTTAACAAAAGTAACAGATTATATCTTCCACGCAGGGAAGAAAAATACCAGCTCACAAGAAAGACAGCAAAACAACGAACAATCACGCACAACACCATGAGGAAACCAGAGGGTAAAATAGGGAAATAAATTAACGTGATGGGAATCAGGTGTGTGCAATCAAGACAAAACAAGTGGAACACAGAAACATAGATCGGTGGCAGCTAGTACTCCGGTGACGACGAACGCCGATGTCACGATCGTCAAAAGGAGGAGACCAAAGCGCAGCGTGTTGAGCGAACATCGTAGACTTTTTTATAAAGAAACCACGATCAAAACAACAAACCAAATATGACGAAAGTGAAGACCTCTGTGACACTGACAGAACAATGGAACAAAAACCCACAACCCACATGAGAACACAGACAGAATAAATATGGCTCCCAATCAGAGATAACGAGCCGACAGCTGACACTCGTTACCTCCGATTGGGAGTCATATGACTAAACAATAAACACACCCAAAACACAACCAACCGAATACACCCTTACAACCACCCCCACAACAAATACCCAACAAAACAAATACACCCTGGCTCAAATCCAGACGTCCCTGAGCCAGAGTGTTACAGTACCCCCCCCTAAAGGTGCGCACTCCGGGCGCACCAGCATACAGTCTCGGGGAGGGTCTGGGTGGGCGTCTGTCCACGGTGGCGGTTCTGGCCCTGGTCGTGGTCCCCACCCCACCTTAGTCACCACCCGCTTCCCTAGCCTCCTCCACATGACCACCCCCCAACTAAACCCCACTGGATTAAGGGGCGGCACCGGACGAAGAGGCAGCCCCGGACTAAGGGACAGCACCGGACTAAGGGGCAGCACCGGACTAAGGGGCAGCACCGGGCTAAGAGGCAGCACCGGGCTAAGGGGCAGCACCGGGCTAAGGGGCAGCACCGGACTAAGGGGCAGCACCGGGCTAAGGGACAGTACCTGACTAAGGGGCAGCACCGAACTGAGGGGCAGATCCTGGCTGGCTGGCTCTGGCGGATCTTGGCTGGACGGCTCTGGCGGATCCTGGCTGGACGGCTCTGGCGGATCCTGGCTGGCGGAAGGCTCTGGCTGATCCCGTCTGGCGGAAGGCTCTGGCTGATCCTGTCTGGCGGAAGGCTCTGGCTGATCCTGTCTGGCGGAAGGCTCTGGCTGATCCTGTCTGGCGGAAGGCTCTGGCTGATCCTGTCTGGCGGAAGGCTCTGGCTGATCCTGTCTGGCGGAAGGCTCTGGCTGATCCTGTCTGGCGGAAGGCTCTGGCTGATCCTGTCTGGCGGAAGGCTCTGGCTGATCCTGTCTGGCGGAAGGCTCTGGCTGATCCTGTCTGGCGGAAGGCTTTAGCGGCTCCGGTCTGGCGGACGGCTCAGAAGGCTCATGGCAGACGGGCGGCTTATGCAGCGCTTGGCAGACGGACAGTTCAGACGGCGTTGGGCAGACAGACAGTTCAGACGGCGTTGGGCAGACGGGCAGTTCAGGCGCCGTTGGGCAGACGGGCAGTTCAGACGGCGTTGGGCAGACGGACAGTTCAGGCCCCGTTGGGCAGACGGGCATTTCAGGCGCCGTTGGGCAGACGGGCAGTTCAGGCGCCGCTGGGCAGACGGCAGACTCTGGCCGTCTGAGGCGCATCGTAGGCCTGGTGCGTGGTGCCGGAACAGGAGGTACCGGGCTGAGGACACGCATCTCAGGGCTAGTGCGGGGAGAAGCAACAGGGCATGCTGGACCCTGGGGACGCACCGTAGGCCTGATGCGTGGTGCCGGAACTGGAGGTACCGGGCTGAGGACACGCATCTCAGGGCTAGTGCGGGAAGCAACAGGGCATGCTGGACCCTGGGAACGCACCGTAGGGTTAGTGCGTGAAGCAGGAACAGGCCGGGCTGGGCTGGCGACGCACACCGTAGGTTCTGTGCGTGGAGCAGGAACAGGCCGGGCTGGGCTGGCGACGCACACCGTAGGTTTGGTGCGAGTGGCAGGAACAGGCCGGGTCGGGCTGGCGACGCACACCGTAGGTTTAGTGCGTGAAGCAGGAACAGGCCGGGCTGGGCTGGCGACGCCCACCGTGGGCTTGGTGCGTGGAGTAGGAACAGCCCGGTCCGTACTGGGAACACACACCACTGGCCTTAACTGAGGATCAGGAACGGGCCGGACCGGACTGGTAACACACATCAGTCTCTCACGCCTTGCCGCAACAACTTCCCTTCCTCTACTCGCCAATGGCTCCCGTAATCCGATAGCCCTCTCTCCACGTCTCCCTGTGGCAGCCTCCTGCTGCCCAGCCGCCCAAGCCATGTGCCCCCCCCAAAAAACTTTTTGGGGTTGCCTCTCGTCCATCCGACGATGGCCCTGCTGACGCCATTGCTCCTCTCCTGCCAGGTTCTCCCCCTTCATCGCCCTCCGGTACCGGACGGCCTCCTCCTGCGTAATATGTCCCCAGCCGAGGAGGACATCCACCAGCGTTCTCTCCTGCGGGTGTTCCCGTATACGCTGCTTGGTCCTTTGATGGTGGGTTTTTCTGTCACGATCGTCAAAAGGAGGAGACCAAAGCGCAGCGTGTTGAGCGAACATCGTAGACTTTTTTATAAAGAAACCACGATCAAAACAACAAACCAAATATGACGAAAGTGAAGACCTCTGTGACACTGACAGAACAATGGAACAAAAACCCACAACCCACATGAGAACACAGACAGAATAAATATGGCTCCCAATCAGAGATAACGAGCCGACAGCTGACACTCGTTACCTCCGATTGGGAGTCATATGACTAAACAATAAACACACCCAAAACACAACCAACCGAATACACCCTTACAACCACCCCCACAACAAATACCCAACAAAACAAATACACCCTGGCTCAAATCCAGACGTCCCGGAGCCAGAGTGTTACAGCCGAAGCCTGCCCGAGCAAGGAGGAGGGGCAGCCTCGGCTGAATTCGTGACAACAGAAGATAGCCCTATTTGGTAAAAGACCAAGTCCATATTATGGCAAGAACAGCTCAAATAAGCAAAGAGTAACGACAGTCCATCATTACTTTAAGAAATGAAGGTCAGTCAATATGGAACATTTCAAGAACTTTGAAAGTTTCTTCAAGTGCAGTCGCAAAAACCATCAAGCGCTATGATGAAACTGGCTCTCATGAGGACCGGCACAGGAATGGAAGACCCAGAGTTACCTCTGCTGCAGGGGATACGTTCATTAGAGTTACCACCCTCAGAAATTGCAGCCCAAATAAATTCTTCACAGAGTTCAAGTAACAGACACATCTCAACATCAACTGTTCAGAGGAGAATGCGTGAATCAGGCCTTCATGGTCAAATTGCTGCAAAGAAACCACTACTAAAGGACACCAATAAGAAGAAGAGACTTGCTTGGGCCAAGAAACACGAGCAATGGTCCTTTGGTTTGATGAGTCCAAAAATCCAACTGCTGTGTCTTTGTGAGACGCAGAGTGGGTGAATGGATTATCTCTGCATGTGTGGTTCCCACCGTGAAGCATGGAGGAGGAGGTGTGATGCTGACACTGTCTGTGATTTATTTAGAATTCAAGGCACACTTAACCAGCATGGCTACCACAGCATTCTGCAGCGATACGCCATCCCATCTGGTTTACGTTTAGTGGGACTATAATTTGTTTTTCAACAGGACAATGACCCAACACACCTCCAGGCTGTGTAAGGGCTATTTGACCAAGGAGAGTGATGGAGTGCTGTATCAGATGACCTGGCCTCCACAATCCCCCGACCTCAACCCAATTGAGATGGTTCGGGATGAGTTGGACCGCAGAGTGAAGGAAAAGCAGCCAACAAATGCTCAGCATATGTGGGAACTCCTTCAAGACTGTTGGAAAAGCATTCCAGGTGAAGCTGGTTGAGAGAATGCCAGGAGTGTGCAAAGCTGTCACCAAGGCAAAGGGTGGCTACTTTGAAGAATCTCAAATCTCATATTTATTTTAATTTGTTTAACACTTTTTCGGTTACTACATGATTCCATATGTGTTATTTCATAGTTTTGATGTCTTCACTATTATTCTAAAATGTAGAAAATAGTAAAAAAATAAAGAAAAACCCTTGAATGAGCAGGTGTGTCCAATCTTTTGACTGGTACTGTATATATCGTCTTTGTATCTCAAAATCATTGTAATGTGGTTAACCTTAAAAATCTAAATGAAAATTATTGAAATCTAAAAGATCAAATTCAACCAGAGAGTGCGCTTAGATCATGGGAAAAGGCTGCACTTGACTGTTGCGCTTCAATCAGAATGATTCAAGTGCAACAGTCAAGTGCGGCCTTTCGAGCTGTCATGTGACCGAATGCTGCAGACAACGCATTCACTGTTCACTATGGAGGAGTTTTGGTTACTGACTCAAAGGGAATACCATGCCATCTCCCTCAGAGCATTAAAAGTCATGGTACCCTTCGCCAGCTCAGATCTGTGTGAAGCTGGATTCAGCAGTGCTCTCGTCTGCATTAAAACCAAATATGTGACCCGTTTCAAGAAGCTAGGCGTATGTCGCACGTCACTACTTAACAGGAGAGGCATTTGAATGTTAAAAAAATAATAAGAATCTAAATGCGTTTTTTGGCAGAAATGCCTTCTGGAATATGTGAAGTTTCATGTGCCTTAATAACAAACGTGTATGCCATCTGTAAATATGAATGAAATTGTTAAATTACGAGCCTAGTTGGTTTAGCCACGGAAAAATACAGGAACCTTCCCGCTAGCCATGATTAGCTGAGATAATAGATGGGCTGGATATGCTGAGAGATGAGTTCAGATTGGTCTGCCATGTAGCATGCTTCTGTCGATAACATGAGCTGCTCAGTATGTGTAGATAGTTAACAGGCACTATTGACAAAGATCAGTGGGAAAAAGTTGTGATGGACTACTTTCTGGAGGACGATCATGCCATTCTGATTCTGAAAATGAATCAGCCGATGAGGAAATCCCTGATTTGTGTAAAAAAAATGTAATTGAACCAGACATTGTATAATCTTCTGATGACAGTGATGGGGAAGAAACGCAGATCAACAGTGTTGTTGTCACAGAAGAAGTTGACCGAGTTTTGAAATCAGTGGAATGCCCAGTGGAAGCAGAGAGATGATTGCCAAATGCGGAGAGAGTTGAAAAGAGAACACAGGCGCTATCGACAAAGATCAGTGGGAAGAAGTTGTGATGGACTACTTTCTGGAGGACGATTGTGCCATGCTGACTCTCTGACTCTGAAAATGAATCAGATGATGCTGAAATCCCTGATTTAGGTAAAACATTTTTCATTGAACCAGACATTGTATAATCTTCTGATGACAGTGATGGGGAAGAAATGGCGATCAACAGTGTTGTTGTCACGGAAGAAGTTGACAGAGTTTTGAAATCAGTGGAATGCTCAGTGGAAGCAGAGAGATGATTGCCAAATCCGGAGAGTCGAAAAGAGAACACCTGTCTCCGGATTACATCTTCAAACTAAGGGCAACCATGGCATCCATGACAGAGAGGGAGAAGCGTTCATCCATGTATACGGGTAAGAGTCTAGCTACATTTTCAGATATTATACGTTTCTAATTTTGTCAGAAAGTCTTTTTCATTGCAAGTTACAGCGTACTGCTAGGTAGCTAGCTAACGTTAGCTGGCTGGCTCGCTAGCTAACGTTACGTGTATGATCTGTGTAGTTATATTATTTGTATCTCAGAACTATTTGCATTGCTAGTTATAGCCTAATGTTAGCTAGCTAACCATTTCACTGTACCGTTTACACCTTCTGTATCCTGTGCATGTGACAAATAAACTTTTATTTTATTTGATTTAGCGTGTGTTTGCCAGAGACGGTAATGTGAAGAACAACATGACCTGCACCAAAGTCAGATTCTGAAATAGGCCAATGACTAGATAAAGTGTATTTTTACTACAACTTTTTGCTACTACTTTCACCACTTTTAGTCTTGAAGTCTTCGGTTGTTTACTACACTACCTTATTCACTCTGTTTAGCACATGACTTCACATGTGAATCCTTAAAGAGATGGGTGGGGCTAACGCTTAAGAGGGTGTGAATGAGGCTGAATGGGTGTAGACAAAGAAGAGCTCTCCAGTTGGTGTACCAAAACATTTTCTCAAAAGTGGGGTTACAGGTTTATCAACATTCAAAGCAGAATACTTTCTCATTGTTCCTCAACTGCAGTGTATGCTATACAATTTTCTCAGAAGTAGAAAGCACCTTTTCAAATTTTGCTACCGAATCCAGGTGGTGGGTCACATATCGATCCAGGTTGGATGTGACAGCAGAGATGAGGTGCGCACTGTTGACCACGCCAACCTGACTTTGAGAAGCTCCGATGCGACATGCATCAAGCACACCCTTCTCATTACATTTTAGTCATTTAGCAGACACTCTTATCCAGAGCAACTTACAGTTAGTGAGTGCATACATTAAATTATTATACTGGCCCCCCGTGGGAATCAAACCCACAACCCTGGCGTTGCAAACGCCATGCTCTACCAACTGTGCTACATCCCTGCCGGCCATACCCTCCCCTACCCTGGACGACGCTGGGCAAATTGTGCACCGCCCCATGGGTCTCCCGGTCGTGGCCAGTTACGACAGAGCCATTACATTTACATTTACGTCATTTAGCAGACGCTCTTATCCAGAGCGACTTACATTATTCTTCTTTTTTTTTCTTTTTTCATACTGGCCCCCCATGGGAATTGAACCCACAACCCTGGCGTTGCAAACGCCATGCTCTACCAACTGAGCTACCTCCCTGCCGGCCATTCCCTCCCCTACCCTGGACGACGCTGGGCCAATTGTGCGCCGCCCCATTGGTCTCCCGGTTGCGGCCGGCTACAGCAGAGCCTGGATTCGAACCAGGATCTCTAGTGGCACAGCTAGCACTGCGATGCAGTGCCTTAGACCACTGCGCCACTCGGGAGGTTAGTGGTGGTGAGATAATGGTGCTTTCAAGACAACTGGGAACTCTGAAAAAAACAAGGTCAAATCATGACGTTAGTGATCTTCAGGTTGGAAAGTCTGAGCTTTAGAAAGAGGCCTGAGTTCCCGACTTGGAATTCCGAGTTGGATGACAGGTCAAACTGATTTTTCCCAGTCTGAGCTTTTTTTTTTTAAAGTTCCCAATTGTCTTGAATGCACTGAAGTCGGAAGTTGGATACTTCCGAGTTCCCAGTTGTTTTGAACGCGGCAATTGACTGTCATAGCCCCACATTAAAAGTATGTGATCGTGAATTGAGAAGACAATCAGAAATACTGTTAGAATGTTTTGCAATTGACTGCCATAGCCCCAAATAAAAAAGTAAACATTGGCTGTTAATTATTTGGTTTTTTTTCACATGGTTGGGGTCCTGAGAATTTTCAGATATCAAAATGGGTTTGTGGACGAAAAAAGTTTGGGAACCCTTGCTGTAACTGCTTACAGTATGCTGATACATCGATTTATTTGGGACCCTGACACACGCAAAGTTATGGTCAATTCCAGTTCAAGTCAGCTGAATTGAAATGCAAGTCATGAAAAGGAAATGTATCAATATTTGAGTATGCATGACATAGTTCAAATAGAGCCCAACTTTCTTGTCACTCACCCAGCTTACTGTAACCCGCACTCTCTCAGATCTGCAGTATCTCTCGTCGCTTGGCTAACTCTCTTCCATTAATATCTCATAGTTATCCGCAACTTCTTTCCCCAAAATATTTTTAACTCCACTTACTCCCTCTTACCCATTTAGCTACATCTGTATGAGGGACCACTTTAAACTATTTTCTTGGTCAGGTGTACTCCAGGTGACCTGCTGAAGTGTGTGAGCAGCGGAAGTGAGTGAGGTCTCTCCCTGGCCTCTGCACCACACGCAGCAGGCCCCCATGCTAAATGACCGGGGCTGTGTGTCCTTGTCTGACAGCAGCTGCTTGCCTCAGTGAGAGGGCTGCTAATTACATGCTAATTCAACTCAACCAAGAGCTCTCCACTCTCTCCTTTCCATTCAGCCATGCTTAGACGCTGCAGATGGAATTACTCCAGATTTTTTGGAAAAGGATCATTTAGATTTTAGAGTGACTTCAAAAAGCTTATGGATTTTATGTGCACTTTTACTGTGTTACAGAGTGGTTTGACTTTGTTATAGAAGAATCCAGAACAGCAGTGTGGTACAGTGCAGTGTTGGGTTATATAACCCTTTAGAGTGGTCAGAGTTTTCAGATAATCCCCCCCTCTCTCTTTCTCTCTCTTCTTCTTTTTCTTCTCTCTCTCTCTCTCTCTCTCTCTCTCTCTCTCTCTCTCTCTCTCTCTCTCTCTCTCTCTCTCTCTCTCTCTCTCTCTCTCTTATTTATATATATATATATATATATATATATATATATATATATATATATAGTGGCGTTGGTGCCATTTATTAATTAACATGGCCTTATTTCTATTACAGCATATTGGATGACTGTCATTCATATTCCATTCACCCAGATCAATGTAACATTGATAGGTTTAGGCTACTACATGATACTTGAATTTTCCCTGTACCTATCATGAGGTTGCTACAACCTAGCCTATGAATGAATGTTTACAACGTAGGTGCATCGGTCGAGAGAATTTGGAGTAATCAAGGTGACAGACAGTCACCAGCCTTGCACACTCTTGCCTGCATCTAGCTGACCTAGGGTGTAATCATTAGTCTAACAGTTGCAAACAAGAGTTTCTATTGAACAAATTCAGGTATGTTTATCCCTGTTTCATTCCGTTTCCTTCCGTTTAAGATACATTTTTCAACAGAATCGGCGCAATGAATACACCCCTGATCACACGCATACACAGTTCACTTTCAAACCAGACACATACAACAGCTCATTGTATATATAATTCCTTATCGCATCTATCTATGCGCTCTCTTCCTCTCACCTTTTCCCTTTGCTTGTGGACTTCAGTTTACAACACATCAGCTGTCTGTGACTAGGTGAAAAAACCTTTCCAAGCCAAACCTTCATATCATGACCGTTAACCGCTACACACAGCCTACATCGTTGTCACATCATAGTCAACATAGCTACTAGAACTAATGCGTTAGTAAACCCGCTACAATCATGCAGTACGGTGTAGTCAGCAGCAATCAGTTTAGCAGTTACACCGGCGAGCCCCGGTGGCAATAAATTAATAAAACCAAAAGCTTACCTTGACTTGGAAGAGTTCCAGTGTTGGATAGCCATAGCCAGCTAGCTAACATAGCATCCCTCTCTGTTTGAGCCGTGTGTTTGAGTAGGCTAAACTAGCTAGCTGCATTTGACACTAGCTAAGTAAGTGAAAGTGAAAATCAAAAAATATATACTACGAAATATAGCTAGAGCTGTCTCGCTCTCGCTCTCGCTCTCGCTCTCGCTCTCGCTCTCGCTCTCGCTCTCTCTTGCTTCTCCTTAATTTTGGAAGAAATTAATTTGTTTAACATTGTTCAACTATTGTCTTTCTCTCTCTTTGAGTCAACTACTCACCACATTTTATGCACTGCAGTGCTAGCTAGCTGTAGCTTATGCTTTCAGTACTAGATTAACTCTCTGATCCTTTGATTAGGTGGACAACATGTCAGTTCATGCTGCAAGAGCTATGATAGTTTGGAGGACGTCCTCCGGAAATGGTCATAATTACTGTGTAAGTTTATGGAAGGGGGTGAGAACCATGAGCCTCCTAGGTTTTGTATTGAAGTCAATGTACCCAGAGGAGGACAGAAGCTAGCTGTCCTCCGGCTACACCATGGTGCTATCCTACAGAGTGCTGCTGAGGATACTGTAGACCTTCACCGCAAAGCAGTGTGTTTTAATCAATTATTTGGTGATGTGAATATATTTTGGATAGTTTTATCTAAAAAGGATGTTTGATACCATTCCATTCATTACCACAAGCCCGTCCTCACAAGTTAAGGTGCCACCAGCCACCTGTGATATATACAGTATATATATGTCCATCTCCTTTAACACCTTCTAACTCACTCTCACACACTCTCTCTGTCTGTTAATTATTAGGCCTTTTTTTGAATTCCCATATGTCTCTTCTCTACTTCATGTCCTCAGTCCATGGTCTTCTTTTGTGAAGTTGGATTCCATCTCTGCACTTTCTCCCAGACAGTCAATAGAATAGAAGATGATGTTGCGAGGTCAGGGCGGTTGGCTGCCTCGCTGCCTCTGAGGAGTGTCATTGTTTGCAGCAGCTCTGTACCTTTGTTATCCTTCACTCCCTGAGGTTGTTAGTAACTTCAGTATGGCGGTCATGTACATTGCAATTCACTATACATCAGCTTCTTTTAATCTCTCTTTATCTACAGTATATGTCTCTCATGTTTACTACCATTGCTGCTTCACTCAATGTCAATGCTGTTTCTTGTTTCTTGTTTCTTGCTTCAATTCAATTTTCTCTTTCTGTCTTCATTTTTGCATCATCTCTCTGTCTCTTTTCCTCTCTCTGTGTGTGTCTCTGTCTCTTTTTTGGTCTTTCTTAAGTGTCAGGCAGTCACCATCTTACTCAAGCTATCCAATCTCTGCTCCCACAACCCCTACTGCAGCCAGCCCCTATGCCACCCTCCTCCCCACCAGTCTGACTGTTAACAGCTTCTTCAGCCTCCATCAGTACTGCTGCCCCTCGTCTGCCAAACACTCGCAGCAGGCAAGGTAAGGGCCACCTAAAGGCCTTCAAAAGAATCCCAAGAACCTATGAATACCTCACAACAATCCTTACTTCCTGCAAGACCCTTAGAACCCTAAAAATATCCCCAGTCCACCACTCCCCTGCCCTGGTCACCAACCCTACCTTCAAAGCTTGCCCTCCCTTTCTCCTTCCTACAAATCCCCTTCAATCCACTGGTTCTAAACCCCTGGTTAACCCTAACACCCTTACCTTATACCCAGCCCCTAACCTGTGCAAGAACCCTCCATTGTTATGTCACCTCATCCTCTCACCATCTTTCACCACCTGCTTTGCCTTTCATCACCTTGCCTCCTATACACCTGTGGGAATATGTCACCAGTTCACCCCTGACCCTAGCCTGTGCCATACTGCCATGCTGCCTCCTCATCTTTCTTCCTATCAGGAGTCCTTACTGTTGTTGTCTCCATCTTAACAGCTGTGTCTGAGAGGGGAAGAGAGATGGCTACCTCTTTAACAGCTTAACACAGAGCCAGAGAGCTCACTTAAAAAGGGCCTTTATACAAAGAGCGAGAGATGTCCTCACTCAGAGAAGAGAAATAACAATCATCTTGGATGAGTGGAGGGTCTGAGGGTGGTCTGAGTCACCACTAAACCCACTGAATCTGAGGACGCACTCAAGATAGCCACGCATCGCTTTCTATACAAGGCGCAGTCGAGTCGTAATCTGAGCGATCGACTCTCTCATGATCTTGCTCGCTTTCTTTTAGTTGGTTATTCTTGAGTCCCTATATCTCTCTCCGGAGCTCTAGTAGCTCATCGCTCGATCTCTCTAGTCTCGTACTCTCTCTCTCTCTCTCTCTCTCTCTCTCTCTCTGCCTCAACATGGCCTTGTGATGAACTTGAACAGGCACCAGCTTCAGTGCATCATGCTCCAGGACTGCCATCTATTGGGAGAGGATGTACAGGCCTAGTGTGCAGTCAATGGGCACTAGTTAGCATTTTTGCATGGACAGAGTATTATGGAAATATGACCTAGAATACAGCAGCTGATGGCTAAGCAACACAAATGATAATGTAGCCATGATAACACATTTGGGTGGCTCATTTGCATGTAGTGTTGCCTAGTCTTAAATATTTAAAATGTTATCCAACAATCCTTAGGGATGGATTGAAATTTGCAATATCTTGCACACGGACTAGTCTATAGCCTATGTTCTGTTCAGTTTGAGAAGGAGAGCATGAAGATGAGAAGGAGGACTGGAGGTCAACTTTCATAGCTTGCTACTACTATAATTGACTAAATAATTGAATGAAAACAATGTTTCTTGCCCATTATGTATTTATCAGAGTTATTGACCTCACAATAAGCCAGATTCAAGTAATTTACATTATGGTGCTGAAACTTGAAGCAGCAGCTGCGTCACAATCAATCGGAAATAGACATTTCATGGTGCTGAAAGTAGGCAAATTCGAGTAGGCATAATTCATTTCAACCGTCTTCATTTTAATTAGACTTGACTAACAACAAGAGAGCTTTGTGTTGGAGCATATTTCTCACTATTTAAGAAATAAGATGTAGGCCTACATTTTTGACAGACGAAATTAAGCTATAGGCTGCTATATCCATAGATTTGTAAGTCAATTCCTCAACCCACCATATACTCTTTTAATAGCCCAGTGAAGGGCTGTTAAGTTAAAACCAGGATTCAAATTGAGGGGTATGACAGCGTATGCCATAGGCCTACCTTTTATTAAAGAAAATGGCAAAAAGCACAGGCCTAACCCTTCTTAGCTTAAAACGGATCCGATAATATAAAGTGATCTATAACAGCGCTTTGGTCCGCGATGCTTTATGCTTGAAACAAGCTATAAAATATGCAGATGCATATGGGAATGTCATTGTTTCGTTTCTTTGATATTCAGAGGCTGAGATACAACCTTCTATAGCCGAGGAGACTAAACATAGACTTTTCTTGGGAAGTAATCTAATTCTGTCACTATCAATTGATTAAGCTATTCACTTTCTGTACAACAGAACATTTTTAAAACCCAGACAGCTTTTAGGGAAACACTTGTGACGTTCTCTCGTTGGGTTAAGCCACGGAAGAGTAGCCAGCATTTTTCTGCATCGGTAGGCCTACTCTGTCTAGGGTGGAAAGGTAGGCCTAACTTTTGAAAGTACATGCTCAGATTCTTAATGATGTCTTTGGAAACAGGGGCAGCTTTGTTGCAAACAAGACACACTGATTTGGCATTGGATAAATATGATAAGATGAACACACAGGCCTATCTCTCTGTCCATTCTTAGCCTGTAATTTCGGTAATATGTGTGATATTAAAAAATATTCTGCTATTATGTAAAATGACATAGAATTGTATGGAATGTTTATTAAAGGCAATTTTTTCTCGGACCTGCAAATACCTTGATCGACTCATGCAATGGTTTTACTATAAAGGAGATCTTTCCACTCCTACTCTTGTCCACGGTGGTTTGTGAACCCACAACCTTCTGGCCCACAGCCCTGTGCGCTATCAAAATTCCTGCGTTGCCATATAATGCTTGCAGGACGAAGAACAGTTTATTAAAGTGCATATCTAAAGCTCTGGTCTGTCGAAGAAGTGAGGGTAAATGGTATACATGTTCTCTGCTATCCACTTTGTTTTAATTATTATTTGGGGTATAGGTTGGGTCACTTTATTTTCAAGCGTTCAGGGAGGGTTTAGGTCAAATATATTTTGCTGAAGGGAGGGCCATCCATTTTCATTTCAGAGAGGTCCGATTTTCTCCATGTAACCATTATTATAAATAACATTCACTCCCTTAGCTTTACTATGATGATATTGACCTCTGGCTTCAGCTGACTCATAGACACAGAAACTTGACTTCAAAGTGTTTCCTTTTTACACAATTAGGATATGACAGGAACATTTCGACAGCCTCCTGCTCCTCTCTTCTCTCAGTATCATTTCCACCAATGTAGGCTTTGATCAGCTTTTTGTCATGTATTTCTGTCTCATGCTTTTTCTCTTTTTCTTGCTATCTGTTTTCTCTGTTTCTCTGTGTATCTGTCTGTCTGTCTCCTTCGTCACCCTCCCTACTTCCATGTCTTCTTCCCTCACTCTGTATCCTTCCCTCCCTCCCTTTCTCTCTGTCTGTCTATCACCCTGTCTCCCTCCCTCTCTCTCTGTCTGTCTCTCGCTTTACCCATTCCCGTTGGTTCCTCAGTGAGGAGTGTGAGGATGAAGCGTCCCATCAGTTCTGTTGTCCCTCCTCAGGGTGCAGTAGCCCCTCCTCTCGATAACCCTGCACTTTGATTGGTCTCTTGGCATCAAGCTGGACAGTTGATTGGTCTCATGGAGTCAAGCTGGACAGCTCAGCCAATCACCTGAGTCACACTTTCAGTCTCTATGAGGGACTCTTGGAGGCCCCTTCACTACAGTTTAACAGTTGAATGACACTGGACAGAGCCCCAGTCTGGATGGATTTAAACAGAATTATCCTTCTTTAGTTGCATGTGAATTGTAGTCTCATTGTGATAGTTGTTGTGATAGTGATTTACCAGAAAATATGACTCAGTGGTAGTTAGATTTAACTGTATATCTTTGTCTCTTATTTGCTCACTGTCTGAGATCATTATTCTTATTTGCTCATCTCACCCATGTCACCTCAGTTTTAAAGTAGCCTAGTCATTCTTTGTGTTCAGCAGCTACTACACTGCCACCAAAGTCTTATCATCACACAATGAGATTAAACAAAAAAAAGCTTTCAATTTCAACGGGTTGAATGTCCTGGTATTTGTTTGTGTTTGTTTAGAAATGTTAGAGGACATTGATCCGTATCTGAAATAAAGATATCATAATTGGTGCAGAGAAGAATTTAGAAAATGTCCTGATGTACTACACCCATCATAATTTCCCACTGTAAATGTAGTTGTAGTGTAGACCTCTGGACAGCAGAGGGCATAGTGATTATAATCTCAATGGTAGAGTAGTCCTACTGTACTTCTCAACTGTGTCTCTGAGACACATACAGTAGCTGACCGGTAACTGTGGGCACAGGCATCTTCAATAAAATGTTGGTGGCCAATAGAAAATGATATCTGTGTGTATTTATGATGTATGTGTGTTTCCTTTACTCTAATCACCCAGTAGACCTACACATGAACACACCCACACACTCATGAAGGTATAGCAGTATACAGTATAGCAGAAATGCAGTATGACATGACATAATACCCCAGGTATCGAACTGTATAGACCAGACTCCATTCTGTCATTGGTGTGATTTGAATGAGAAGTAAATGATCATCCCCTCTGACCCTTTCTCTCCCGTCTATTCTGTTGTGACTGGTGTGTGTGTTTGTACTATTTGCCACTGTGTAATAGAGTGTGTGCCTGCCTGTCGGTCGGTCAGCTGGGTAATGTGAGAAGGAAAGAAGCAGGGGGAGGGAGGGTGAGAGAGTTTGGGTGGGGTGAGTAAGTTCAGAGCTGTCAAAAGACTGTAAAGAATATAGCCTTGCAACTCTGCAGGGTGAGCGAAATAATGTGAGTGTGTGTTTGTGAAGTGTGTGTGTTTGTTATCACGCTACACCAGTCCGTGTGGGACCTCTCGTTAACTTCAGCAGCACGGTAAGGACTCTTGATTTCACTCCCAAACTTTCTGTACAGCACAACAGACATGACATGCTGTAAGTAGTGGTAAGTCTTGAGTGATTGTCAGTTGGATTGTATGTAAAACGTGTGTGTATGCACTGTATGTGCTTATTATAGAGCTGACTGAGTCAGTATGGTGGACCTACTGTGGAGCAGGCACGTGTGTTACGAAGGCTGTTTCATTCAGCTCCAGTCTATGCCCTTGATATATTTATTTATATTTGAACAGCTTCTATAGATACTATGACTGTGTATGGACAGTTAACTGTACACAATGGTGTCTAGTGAAGATACATCAGGGTTATTGGTAGTGTTCATTACAGTAAGTTCATGTTTGCGAGTGTACAGGAGGAGTGTGATAATGAATGGCCATTACCTGTGACATAGTGGATGTCGTTAAAATGAAAGAGAGCACTTGCTGAGACCAGAGCAGATGGGTTATGTCAGGGGCTGTCACTCCCTGTTGCCATCGCAAACACACACACACATACACACACACACACACACACACAAGACATAGGTATGATGTAGTTACTGTATGTAGTAAGGAAATTGGGTCAATGTTGCTGAAAGAAAAAGAAAGAGTAAAGGGAATTTGGGTTTACAGCCTTTCAAATGTTATGTATTGAGAGGTACAGTAGTGTGTATATGTACAGTATCAGTATGTGAGTAATGTCTGTGAGAGGAGAGAGGGTTAAAAACATGTTTTTGGTTGGAGATTATCAGAGAGTCAGTTAGATGGAGGAGTGGAATCATTGGATGGAGTGTAGGAGGCAGAAGAATGCTGGAATCTGACAGATGAATGATTTGTTTGTTCTCTCACAGTATTCACTTCTGAGTTCTACAATGAAAGTTATTCAACTCATGGGTAAATGTGTTCATTTCCTGTTTCAGACATTTTGTAAGAGAGACATTACCTATCTTTCCATCATTACTATAATATAGCCGTTTGATGATGTGACGTTATCACTAAATTGCGATGATGGTTCATACACTACATGCCCATAAGTATGTGGACGGGGACATTGTCATGCTGAACCAGGAAAGGGCCTTCCCCAAACAAAGTTGGAAGCACAGAATCGCCTAGAATGTCATTGTTTGCTGTAGCATTAAGATTTCCCTTCACTGGAACTAAGGGGCCTAGCCCGAGCCATGAAAAACAGCCCCATTATTCCTCCTCCACCAAATTTTACAGTTGGCACTATGCATTGGGGCAGGTAGCCTTCTCCTGACATCCGCCAAACCCAGATTCGTCCGTCGGACTGCCAGATGGTGAAGCGTGATTTATCACTCTAGAGAACGCGTTTCCACTGCTCCAGAGTCCAATGGCGGCAAGCTTTACACCACTCCAGCCGACGCTTGGCATTGTGCATGGTGATCTTAGGCTTGTGTGCGGCTGCTCGGCCATGGAAACCCATTTCATGAAGCTCCCGACGAACAGTTATTGTGCTGACGTTGCTTCCAGAGGCAGTTTGGAACTTGGTAGTGAGTGTTGCAACTGAGGACAGACGATTTCTACACGCTACGTGCTTCAGCACTCGGTGGTCCCGTTCTGTGAGCTTGTGTGGCCTACCACTTTGCGGCTGAGCCGTTGTTGCTCCTAGACGTTTCCACATTACAATAACAGCACTTACAGTTGACCGGGGCAGCTCTAGCAGGGTAGAAATTTGACGAACTGACTTGTTGGAAAGGTGGCATCCTATGACTGTGCCACGTTGAAAGTCACTGAGCTCTTCAGTAAGGCCATTCTACTGCCAATGTTTGTCTATGGAAATTGCATGGCTGTGTGTTCGATTTTATACACTTGTCAGCAACGGGTGTGGCTGAAATAGCCGAATCCACTAATTTGAAGGGGTGTCCACATACTTTTGTATATTCAGTGCATTTGGAAAGTATTCTTGACTTTTTCAAAATGTTGTTACGTTACAGCCTTATTCTAAAATTGATTTTTTTTTTAATTTGCCTCATCAATTTACAGTTGAAGTCGGAAGTTTACATACACTTAGGTTGGAGTCATTAAAACTCATTTTTCAACCACTCCACAAATTTCTTGTTAACAAACTATAGTTTTGGCAAGTCGGTTAGGACATCTACTTTGTGCATGACACAAGTAATTTTTCCAACAATTGTTTACAGACAGATTATTTCACTTATAATTCACTGTATCACAATTCCAGTGGGTCAGAAATGTACATACACTAAGTGCCTTTAAACAGCTTGGAAAATTCCAGACAATTATGTCATGGCTTTAGAAGCTTCTGATAGGCTAATTGACATCATTTGAGTCAATTGGAGGTGTACCTGTGGATGTATCTCAAGGCCTACCTTCAAACTCAGTGCCTCTTTGCTTGACATCATGGGAAAATCAAAAGAAATCAGCCAAGACCTCAGAAAAACATGTGTAGACCTCCACAAGTCTGGTTCATCCTTGGGAGCAATTTCCAAATGCCTGAAGGTACCACGTTCATCTGTACAAACAATAGTAAGCAAGTATAAACACCATGGGTCCACGCAGCCGTCATACCGCTCAAGATAGAGATTAACGTACTTTGGTGCGAAAAGTGCGAATCAATCCCAGAACAATAACAAAGGACCTTGTGAAGATGCTGGAGGAAACAGGTACAAAAGTATCTATATCCACAGTAAAACAAGTCCTATATCGACATTACCTGAAAGGCCACTCAGCAAGGAAGAAGCCACTGCTCCAAAACCGCCATATAAAAGCCAGGCTACGGTTTGCAACTGCACATGACTACAAAGATCGTACATTTTAGGGAAATGTCCTCTGGTCTGATGAAACAAAAATAGAACTGTTTGGCCATAATAACCATCGTTATGTTTGGAGGAAAAAGGGGGGACTTGCAAGCCGAAGAACACTATTCCAACCGTGAAGCACGGGGGTGGCAGCATCATGCTGTGGGGGTGCTTTGCTGCAGGAGGGACTGGTGCACTTCACAAAATAGATGGCATCATGAGGAAGGAAATTTATGTGGATATATTGAAGCAACATCTCAAGACATCAGTCAGGAAGTTAAAGCTTGGTCGCAAATGGGTCTTCCAAATGGACAATGACCCCAAGCATACTTCTAAAGTTGTGGCAAAATGGCTTAAGGACAACAAAGTCATGGTATTGGAGTGGCCATCACAAAGCCCTGACCTCAATCCTATTGAAAATATGTGGGAGGCCTATAAACCTGACTCAGTTACACCAGCTCTGTCAGGAGGAAAATTCACCCAACTTATTGTGGGAAGCTTGTGGAAGGCTACCCGAAACATTTGCCCGAAGTTAAACAATTTAAAGGCAATGCTACCAAATACTAAATGAGTGTATGTAAACTTCTGACCCACTGGGAATGTGATGAAATAAATAAAAGCTTAAATAAATAATTATCTCTATTATTATTCTGACATTTCACATTCTTAAAATAAAGTGGTGATCCTAACTGACCTAAGACAGGGAATTTTTACTAGGTTTAAATGTCAGGAATTGTGAAAAACTGAGTTTAAATGTATTTGGCTAAGGTGTATGTAAACTTCCGACATCAACTGTACATACAAAACCCCATAATGACAAAGCAAAAACAGGTTTTTAGAAACTTTTGCAAATGTATTAAAATTTTAAAATGGAAATATCACTTTTGCATAAGAATTCAGACCCTTTACTCAGTACTTTGTTGAAGCACCTTTGGCAGCGATTACAGCCTTGAGTCTTCTTGGGTATGATGCTACAAACTTGGCACACCTGTATTTGGGGAGTTTCTTCCATTCTTCTCTGCAGATCCTCTCAAGCTCTGTCAGGTTGCATGGCTGTGTGCTCAATTTTATACACCTGTCAGCAATGGGTGTGGCTGAAATAACCGAATCCACTAATTTGAAGGGGTGTCCACATACTTTAGTATATACAATGTAGCTTACATAAACTAAAGTCTGTTGTTGTTCTCTCTGGATGGATGGTCAGTGGTGTTTTCCTTTGATCGGTCTTGAAAAGGATTGTATTATTCTATCACTATTGCTAAAGCATAAGGCATGGGTTACTCTCACCCCTGGTGTCTGTTGGTGAGCTCTATTGTGGAGACAGAACAAGGAAGAAGTGAGGGACAAGTGAGGGGTGAAGGACAGACAGGCAGAGGAGATAAAGGGGATGTAGTGTGAGAGGAGCCTGTTAAAGTGACCTGTGGTCAGTCACGTTGCAGATCAATAGAGTATCATGGTCTCTCATCGATGGCAGGGAGCTCATGTGGTTTTAAAGTCCCAGCCACTCTGACCTGTTGTGGACCCATGAGACATGCTGCTGCCCTCTGCAACACACGCTGACAGGCTGCCCATCAATAATGAATAAAGTGGGACACGAAGAACAGGCAGCAGGGGGCAACTAGCGAGGAGGTGACAGTGTGTTTCACACTGCAGACAATACATCTCTTCCCCACTCACTTCTCTACTCCTCTCCTCTCTGCTTCTCATCACATATTGTCAAAAGCACCCGCAGTGTCACACATCTCTTTCCCCAGAATGTCCCCCATCGGTTTCTAATCCGAAATAATAATATAATGCCATTTAGCAGACTCTTTTATCCAAAGCGACTTACAGTCGTGCGTGCATACATTTTTGTGTATGGGTGGTCCCGGGGATCGAACCCACTACCTTGGCATTACATGCGCCATGCTCTACCAGCTGAGCTACAGAATCTGAGGTGAACCGAGTTATGTTGGGACCTTATGAGTGTAGCCTACCTGTAGCACCACAGAGGTCCTCAGTCAGTAGCAGCACTGTAACAGGACTACAGGAGGCTCATCCATCAAACATGAAGCTCTGATGTCATCTGTGCGATGGCCACCCTCATGATTTATACAACGTTTTACTCATATATCCGTTGTGTCTAAGTGTATTATGTAAACACAGTCATACACAGTTATACCATGGGAAAAACATGGAGTTATCAAGTAACAACAAGGCCGACTTCAAATGCCATCATCCATAGGCAGCGTGTGAGTTTCAAGTTTGGGGAAGCAATTTCTTCACCATTTGCATACTAATGTAAGATAGGCTACTATTCTTAATGTGATGAGTAGATTGCATAGTCATAATTTAGGCTAATAATATAACTCAGTCACTGTAAGCAAACCAGACAGTTCTGAACAATGCATACCTGAGCGCGTAGTGACATAGAGTAGCACTAAGAGGTTTCTTCTCCTTTCTTTGCACAGGAAAAATGTGGCCTTTTATAAACACATTTCATGCAATTCTACTACACTTAATATGACTGGAGACAGCAACATCTTTTTTTATATGACACAAATTAGTAAGTAGGCTACTCTGCTGACGCTGACAAACAGATCAGTAGAAATGACCTTGTCTTGAGTGCAACCATCTACTGTAGGCCTATGAAAAAGGGAGACACAAATTGTACAGTATGACATCCATCTAGCCTGGAGGAGGAAATTATTGTCCCCCCAAAAAAACGCTTAAAACAATCCACAGCTCATTTTTTTAAATAACCTAATGATACTCTGTGGCCAAATCATGCTTTCTGGTATTCTGAATGATTTTATTCATTTATGTATAGGCACGAGTCATTCAAAAGCTAATTTTGGCAAATTTAATTCAACTTACTTTAAGGGAAGCTTATCTTATCCTAGCCTATTGGATTCACTGCCTTTGCCGACATCAATGTAAAAGTAACCTGTGCATAAAACAGCTGGCATGCTTACAAGGCCGAGTTCAAATGCTAACATCAAATTCAAAGCAATCGATGCACTGCCTAAACGGCTGACCGGCAAAGCAAACTGTCTGGCACTGTCTCTGCTCTCTGCTTTCTTAAAGTGAGAGAAAGGCGCGGAGGCTGGCAGTTACTCTCCGAAAGCCAGCCAAGCAATAGGCTAAACAGCCTTCGCATTTTAATCGGGATTGGAATGATTTGTCAACTTTTTTGTTGCCTACTTTAAATAGGGTATGGCAACTGCCCTGGGTGTGGGTATGAGCTGAGATGAGATGAGGAGAGGAGTACAGTGAAAGAGGATGTTCAGAGAGTTATCATCAGTAGCCTAGAAACCTTAGGTAGTTTTTTAATGTGTGATATTGTGCAACCCATGTTTAGATATGGCTGGGAGACAGACATGAAAAGGCCATCTGTGTCCTCCCGTGTGATGTGGCAGCCAGCGTGGTGTCCCTATCTTTTGGTGTTTAACTGTGTGGCTTTGTCACCAACTTTTGTGTCCAAACTGTCCATGTTTTCCACTCCATAAAAGGAGCACTGGTTCTAGTGGTGCACTGTGGTAAGTCGCAGACTATTTATACAGTAAATGGGAACACAGACCTACAATAGAGACTGGGTGTGTGAGTTTCTGCTTGCAGTTGTGTGACTAACTACAGTAGTCTGCCCGGTGTTATACATTTGTGTGCTGTATGTATAAAGTAGATTCATTGTAACACACACTTCATTGTAACACACAGATTCATTGTGTCACTCACAGCCCACAATGCATCTACACCCACCTAAACGTTGTTAACGGTCAATCCATCGTCATGGCAACTATGCTCCTCATCCCATGAACTGCCTCCCCGCCCACATAGGTCTCACGGCAACCGTCACTATGCAACCCCCTCCTCCTTCTCAGTTTCTCCATTTGTGAGGATGCGGGGGCAGAGAAAGAAAGGAGGATTAGAAAACCTGGAGTGAGAGATGATGATACAGACAGAAAAAATATGATTTATTAGTAGAGTGGAGATGTTGAGGTAGAGAGTGGATTTCAGCAAAGCTTGAGATCTGGACAGAGCTGCTAACGGATATTACATTCTTAGAGAAGTCTGATTAAACATCAATAGAGTAAAAGGAACTTGTCTTTATACACAAGGTACATCAGTACAGTATATCTTGTAGTTCAAACACAAGTTTAGATACAATACATAATATAGTTAAAACACAAGGTACGTCAATACAGTACCTCTTATAGTGTAAACACAAGGTACATCAATACAATACATCATATAGTTCAAACACAAAATATATCAATACAGTATCTCTTATAGTTCAAACACAAAGTACATCAATACAGTACCTCTAATAGTTCAAACACATGGGTCATCAATGTGAAGTATAGTACAAATGTAACAGATGTACACTTATTGGCCACTACCATTTCTCAAGTAACAAAATCCACATTCCAACTGAAATCTTTATCTGAACTGAGCTGCAGTAAGGTGAACATTCCAGCAGGGGTCAGAGATGTATCGCTGTACAGCTGGCTCCATTACATAACATGCTACGGTCCCCTGTGTTCAAACGGCCTTTCACAGTATTGTGGCCTTGTTTCACCCTCTTTATCAGGGAATGTTTATTTCTCGATACAGAAAATGCTGTTAAAAACCACTATGACGTGTGTACACTGATTCCTCTCCCCTGATGTTCTGATTGCTAAGGTGTTGTAACATCAACACTCTGTTGCTATTGCACAAAGAACATAGTATTCTCAACCTCAACTAATGTGTCTACTGTGGCTGTGTAAGGATCATTGGTGTTCTGTTTCCATAGTCCTCCAAAGTGTTCCTTCCTCCCTGTCATATATTTTCTGTCAGCTCCACACCAACACAGGAAACCACTGCTTCTCAGGGGAAGAGAATGAGATAAACAGGAAAAAGGAGGACCAAAAAGAGAGAGAAAGAACATACGTTTTCCAAATTGTTGTACCCTAGTCCTACAGAACATGTTGTAACCACTTAGGTATTTTAAAATGACGTTTGCCTGCCTCATAGTCTGAAGATAGCTTTCACCACATACATTTGCATACTGCCAGTTTTAGTTTCCCTGTGACTCTGCTCTGTCATTATGTTTTCTTCAGGGATTGAGAAAGAACCATAGGGCAGCGCCTGGACAGAGGGGGTGTGGCAGGGAAGGAAGTCGAGGCAGGGGCATGTGACTGTGGTGAAGTGGTTACTCACTGACTGACTGGCTGACTGGACTGGCTGACTGTTGCTACATGGGATAGAGAGCAGGACAGTGGAGTAGCTGTTGGATTACCTGGTAGATCAGGCCTGAGAAGACTGTTGGGCTTTACTGTATATGAGAGGCTGCTTGCTTAGGCTGTTTCTGTTTCTACATGCCTATGTGTTGTCTATCTCTATTTATTTTGTGCAGTAGTTCATTATGTAGGTTACATCAGACACGTGTGTGTTGTAGTACTGTACAGGCCTAGTAGAAGAAGTTAACGTTTATATGTATAAGTGGTTGTTTCATAATCTATTGTATTTGTCAATAGTACAGTCCTATGCATGCATGCGTGTGAGCTTATTGTAAAGACCAGGTCTTTCCGGTCAGGTATGGAGTTAGTGGCATGTGGCAGTGGAGTGTGTTTATGGCTAATGACTGCCGTAATGTGAAAATACCTGTTATTTTCCTGTATGACAGAGAGAGAATGTGAGACAGAAAGAGAGAAAGACTCGCTGCTAAAAAGACAAAGAAATAGTGAGAGAGAGAGAGAGAGAGAGAGAGAGAGAGAGAGAGAGAGAGAGAGAAAGGGCAGAGACCCTGTCACCTGCAGGACTTTGGTTCACAAGGCAGGAAACTTCACTTGATTCTGTCAGCTCCAGTGGAAGGAACATTGTTTTGAAGGAATGGGTCATGCTGATCACATGTTGTTTTATAACCATCGGTGTGACTGAAAGGTTTGCTGCACATAAAAACACTTATTTAGAATAGCTGGAGTCAATTATGATCTTTGTTGTGGTGAGAAGCTAAGTACAACGTGCCAGTGTGTGAATGTGTGTGAGTAAGTTTGGTACTCTTCCATCATTTTTATTTGTCATTTAGCAGACACTCTTATCCTGAGCGACTTACAGGAGCAATTAGGGTTAAGTGCCTTGCTCAAGGGCACATTGACAGAATTTTCACCTAGTCGGCTCAGGGATTAGAACCAGCAACCTTTCGGTTACTGGCACTACGCTCTTAACCACTAAGCTACCTGCCGCCCCAGCTACACAGGTCTAATATGTACATGTATGTGACTTACCTGTTAGTGACAATACATCTGTGTTTGGGGCTGGAGATCGTTTGGGGCTGGAGATTACTGGGCCAGGGTGTGCCCCCTTTTCATCAAGCCCTTTCCCCTCTCATTCATCCTTCTGTCCCCAGTGTGGAAGCAGAAACCCAGTGTGTGGAGCCGCCAGGGGCCCACTCAGACGGCCCCTACAGCCAGACCACAGCGTACCTGCGTGGCACAGAGCGCTACAGTGAAAACAATAGGGGTCCTGGTCCTCCAGGCCCCCGGGGGCTTCCGTGTGTGGCCCCTCCCAGCTCGGCTAGCCTTGCCTGGGCACTGCGAACACGTCATCAGCCTGCCAGTCTGGCCCTCCGCAAGCAGGAGGAGGAGGAGAACAAGAGGTGCAAGGCCAGTCTCTCTGACAGCTATGAGCTCTCTACTGACCTACAGGACAAGAAGGTACATGTAGGCCTGCCCTGAGGTGTGGTTACAGTTGAGTGAGAGAGAAAGTGAAAGAGAAAGAGAAAGAACAAGCGTGATAACATGCATTACTGGCAGTGAGTGTTGTGGTAGCCCTGTCTATAACTGCTCTGTCCCCTGTTCTGTCTCCTCTTCCAGGTGGAGATGTTGGAGAGGAAGTACGGTGGCTCCTTCGTGAGCCGCAGAGCAGCCCGGACCATCCAGACGGCCTTCCGCCAGTATCGTATGAACAAGAACTTTGAGCGCCTCCGCAACTCGGCTTCCGAGAGCCGCATGACGCGACGCATCATCCTGTCCAACATGCGGCTGCAGTACTCGTTTGACGACCGCCAGGCGCAGCAGCAGGGGGCCGGAACACAGACAAACTTCACACACAGTGTGGGCATTGGCCCTCCTCATTCACCTGACACAGAGCGGACAGGAGACTACACACACCTGGAAGACTCCTTCTCCAAACAGGTCAGTCAGACAGCTGGTTCTTTAACTATAGCAGTAATATGTTGAATCGTGTGGCTGGTTAAATTAATCCTCAGTTGAAGATTCTATTATATTCTATTCCTGTTGGAGTCTTTGTTTTGTCACACTGCCGGTTGAGTATCTGTACCTTATTACTGTACTGAGCTTACTTTCACTATGTACAGGTGAAGTCCCTGGCTGACTCCATAGATGACGCCCTGACCTGCCGTGGCGGGCGGGATGACTCCCAAGAGGGCAGCAGGGAGGGTGGAGGCATCAGTGATGACTTTGGGGAGTGTGTGTGGAGCAGCAGCAGTAACCCCTCATCCCGGAGAGGCCTGGGTGAGAGATCCCGGGGAGGGGGAGGAGGCCTCAGCATGCACGGAGACAGCACAGCCACCTCCTACAGTGATGTCACTCTATACATGGATGACTGTATGCCCTCCTCGCCCCTGTCTCTGGACCGGACCCCCAGCAGCACAGACACAGAGTACTGGGGCCCCAGGGGAGGCGTGGGGGGCCGTGAGGACAGCAGGGATACTGAGGGAGGGGGTAGTAGTAATAGCCGTCGCAGCACCCCCTGCACGGAGTGTCGAGACTACCGTCTAAGGGGCGCCCACCTGCCCCTGCTCACAATCGAGCCCCCCAGCGACAGCTCCGTGGACACTAGCGACCGTTCGGACCGTGGGTCCCTCAGCAGACAGATCTACGAGCAGGAGCCAGCGGGAGGAGCAGGCTCTCCTCAGGGAACACTCAAACACTCCCCTAACACTCCCCGCCCTGTCTCCACAGTCGCAGCGCAGGGCCAGACCCGGGCCCCTGGCCGGGGCCCCCCCCTGCCCACTCACATCCCCCACCACGTGGCACACCACCATCACCACCACCCTCACCACCACCACCAGTACCCAGACACCCCCTCGTCCTCCTCCTCCCCCCAGCAGCCCCCCACCACCCCCCTGTCCTCCTCCTCCTCTGCTGCGCTGCCCCCTGGTGGCCTTGAGCAGCCCTGTCTGTCTGACGGGGACAACGACTCTCTCAACTCCACCACCAACTCCAACGAGACAGTTAACTGCAGCTCTGGCTCCTCATCTCAGGACAGCCTGAGGGAGCCCCTACCCCCTCTGGGCAAGCAGACCTACCAGAGAGAGAGTAGACACAGCTGGGACTCACCGCCATTCAACAACGATGTGGTGCAAAGACGCCAGTACCGCATCGGACTCAACCTATTCAATAAGTAAGACATTTGCAATCCATTAATATTTTACATTTAAACTACATAAAACAAACAGCCACATATCACAATCATAGAAAGTAAAACTTTCAAAATAGGAAAAGTAGGAAGTCAGGATATAGTGTCACCGGGAGGGTAAGGGGAGTCGTTCTCTTTGTTGTGACTTGTCATTTTCTGATTGGTCTCTCTGGTTCTCAGGAAGCCAGAGAAAGGGATCCAGTACCTGATTGAGCGAGGATTTGTGTCCGACACTCCGGTTGGGATCGCTCGCTTCATTCTGGAGAGAAAGGGCCTGAGCAGACAGATGATTGGAGAATTCCTCGGCAACCGGCAAAAACAGTTCAACAAGGACGTACTGGAGTAAGTCTGGGAATGGAGGAGATACATTTCTATAAATCTATTCTATCCTTTAATTTTTAATTTTAGGGTGTTACTAGTAGTTAAGGTTCTTGCTAATATGTACACTGAACGAAAATATAAACGCAACATACAACAATTTCAAAGATTTTACTGAGTTACAGTTCATATAAGGAAATCATTCAATTTAAATAAATTCATTAGACCCTAATCTATGGATTTCACATGACTGGGAATACAGATATGCATCTGTTGGTCACAGATACCCAAAAACAAAAGTAGGGGCGTGGATCAGAATACCAGTCAGTATCTGGTGTGACCACCATTTGCCTCATGCAGCACGACACATCTCCTTCGCATAGAGTTGATCAGGCTGTTGATTGTGGCCTGAATGTTGTCCCACTTCTCTTCAATGGCTGTGCGAAGTTGCTGGATATTGGCGGGAACTGCAACATGCTGTCATACACGTCGATCCAGAGCATCCCAAACATGCTCAATGGATTACATGTCTAGTGAGTATGCAGGCCATGGAAGAACTGGGACATTTTCATCTTCCAGGAATTGTGTACAGATCCTTGCGACATGGGGCCGTGCATTATCATGCTGAAACAGATGATGGAGGCGGATGAATGGCATGATAATGGGCCTCAGGAGCTCGTCATGGTATCTCTGTGCATTCAAATTGCCATCGATAAAATGCAATTGTGTTCGTTGTCCGTAGCTTATTTTGTGCTCACAATTTGAGAGAAATAAGCTTTTTGTGCGTCATGAAACATGGGATCAACACTTTACATGTTGCGTTTTATATTTTTGTTCAGTATATTTTATCGATTTATTTAATTAAGATGAAGGGAGGAGGGGTTTTTTTCAATTGGAGAGGATACATGATCTATTCTTTCCTTTTTCTCTTGTATTCAAGATTTTGGAGTATTATTGTCAGTTAATGTTTTGCTGATATTGATTGCTTTGGTTGGTTTCTGTGTTTTGGCTTTGAATTGTTAGTGCTGGTTTCGTGCTCATTTTGTTTTGTTTTTCTAGTTCTGGGCCTTTTCTTTGTTGCTACTGCCCACATCCATCAGGCGTTTAGGTTTAGGTTGGGTGGCATCCGGGGTACAAACGTGGATAAGTATGGGACAGGTGGAGTGTATTGCACTCAGTGGTTAGAAAAGTGATGAAGGTGCAAGATGTACGATTCTGGGAGGGGGGTGTTAGGGCTTTTCTCGAGATGGGGGAAACTCTTTATGGGAGAGACAATGGAGGACAGTTACATACATTGGAAATCTCAGGTACAGCTACGGTGCATTCGGAAAGTATTCAGACCCCTTTACTTTTTCCACATTTTGTTACGTTACAGCCTTACTCTAAAATTGATGAAATAGTTGTTTTCCCTCATCAATCTACACACAATACCCCATAATGACAAAGCAAAAACAGGTTTTTAAGAAATACAAAACTGAAATATCACATTTACATAAGTTTTCAGACCATTTAGTCAGTACTTTGTTGAAGCACCTTGGCAGTGATTACAACCTTGAGTCTTCTTGGGTATGACGCTACAAGCTTGGCACACCTGTATTTGGGGAGTTTCTCCCATTCTTCTCTGCAGATCATCGCTGCACAGCTATTTTCGGGTTCAAGTCTGGGTTCTGGCTGGGCCACTCAAGGACATTCAAAGACTTGTCCCGAAGCCACTCCTGCGTTGACTTGGTTGTGTGCGTAGGGTCATTGTCCTGTTGGAAGGTGAACCTCCGCCCCAGTCTGAGGTCCTGAGCGCACTGGAGCAGGTTTTCATCAAGGATCTCTCTGTACTTTGTTCCGTTCATCTTTCCCTTGATCCTGACTAGTCTCCCAGTCCCTGCCACTGAAAAACATCCCCACGGCATGATGCTGCCACCACCATGCTTCAGGGATGGTGTTAGGTTTCCTCCAGATGTGACGCTTGGCATTCAGGCCAAAGAGTTCAATTTTGGTTTCATCAGACCAGAGAATCTTGTTTCTCATGGTCGGAGTCTTTTGGTGCCTTTAGGCAAACTCAAAAAATTATAGAAACCTGTTTTCGCTTTGTCATTATGGGGTATTGTGTAGATTGATGATTTTTTATTTTTTTAATCAATTTTAGAATAAGGCTACGTAGCAAAATGTGGAAAAAGTCAAGGTGTCTAAATACTTTCCGAATGCACTGGATATCTAGCAGCTTTATCATCATGGTACTTTTTGGCAGTAATTTTACAGGCATGAATTATGGTAAGTATAATTGAAACTTGTATCTCATTATGGTAAGTGGTGAAATAAATATAGCTAGTTATAATTGTAATGGCTTAGCAGATTGTAAGAAAAGACGATCAGTCTTTACCTGACTAAAAGAGAAGGAATATAATACAGTTGTGTAGTTTTTTTGCACCTTGCTCGAGGGGTGCTGTACTACTATGGCTGACCCTGTAAAACAACACATTTCACTGCACGTCTCTGGTGTATGCGGCAATAAAAACATATTTTGGGGGGATATCAAAATGGGGCTTAGGGGGTGGGCATGGTGGGGGCGTGGCCATGGGCGTGGCCAATGGTGCGGTCAAACATTTTTTAGACTCATTTCCTGCAATTCTACACATTTTGCCATGTGGCGGAGATAACCTTTTGCAGTTTTAAAGCACATTTCCTGCAATTCTACACATTTTGCCATGAGGCTGAGAGAAAAATGTGCAGTGTTAAAGGACATTTCCTGCAATTCTACACATTTTGCCATGAGGCTGAGAGAAAAATGTGCAGTTTTAAATCAAATTTCCTTCAATTCTACACATCTTGCCATGGGGCTGAGAGGAAATGTGCAGTGTTAAAGCAAATTTCCTGCATTTCTACACATTTTGCCATGGCTTATGTTATATTTTTTAGTCATTTAGCAGACGTTCTCATCCAGAGCAACTTAAAGGAGCATTTAGGGTTAAGTGCCTTGCTCAAGGGCACATCGACAGAATATTTACCTAGTCGGCTCGGGGATTCAAACCAATTACATTTTAGTCAACCAGCAACTTTTCAATTACTGGCCCAACGCTCTTAACCACTAGGCTACCTGCCGCCCCGGCTTATGCTGTCTGAGTGACTCAAACATTATAACAAAATAATTTATTTGGAACGTTAAGCCAGACAAACTTCAACTTGCCTATTTATATAATGAATATGAGTTTGGGGGGCTGAAATTATTAAATATTAAAGCATTAAACCTCTCACTAAAAGCTTCACTCATACAAAAGTTCTACTTAAACCTAAACTGGTCCTCCAGTAGATTACTAAGAAAGGCTGTTTAAATATTTACAACTTCTCACATTCGGTTAATTGAAACAAGCCATACAAAGCTGGTTACAATTTCAATTTCATCCTCCAGATAAGACAGAACAAATATTACAACAAATATTATGGTTAAACTCAAATATACTGATTGATAAAAATAAATAAAAAAGCATTCTTTATGGATTTTATTTCATTGTATTATATTTATTAATGATATTATGAATAGGAATGGTGGAGTTATGTCACACATGCAGCTATCCAAAAATATATGGGAATGTTTGCTCAATCCAAAGTTACAACCAACTGATTGCAGCATTACCGCAGAAATGGAGGAGGCATGTGGAAGGGGGAGAAGGTAGGGAACTTGTCTGTCTGCACTATATTAAAGACCAAAATTGAGGGGGAAATATTGGCATAAATAGAAATATAAACCAGTTTCATTTGAGGACCAAAATGTTGACAGCTGTGCCATAAAGGTTGCAAAATAGCTGGGGAGAGATTTTCCATGTACCGATTTCAGGCACATGGTGTATGAACTGAAAAACACATGATTCAACACAAAATTCTTGCCACCAACAGAATGTTATATGCAGTATATACAGTGGCTTGCAAAAGTATTCACCCCCCTTGGCATTTTTCCTATTTTGTTGCCTTACAACCTGGAATTAAAATTGATTTTTGGGGGGTTTGTATCATTTGATCTACACAACATGCCTACCACTTTGAAGATGCAAAATCTTTTTTATTGTGAAACAAACAAGAAATAAGACCAAAAAAACAGAAAACTTGAGCGTGCATAACTATTCACCCCCCCAAAGTCAATACTTTGTAGAGCCACCTTTTGCAGCAATTACAGCTGCAAGTCTCTTGGGGTATGTCTCTATAAGCTTGGCACATCTAGCCACAGGGATTTCTGCCCATTCTTCAAGGCAAAACTGCTCCAGCTCCTTCAAGTTGGATGGTGTACAGCAATCTTTAAGTCACACCACATATTCTCAATTGGATTGAGGTCTGGGCTTTGACTAGGCCATTCCAAGACATTTAAATGTTTCCCCTTAAACCACTCGAGTGTTGCTTTAGCAGTATGCTTAGGGTCATTGTCCTGCTGGAAGGTGAACCTCCGTCCCAGTCTCAAATCTCTGGAAGACTGAAACAGGTTTCCCTCAAGAATTTCCCTGTATTTAGCGCCATCCATCATTCCTTCAATTCTGACCAGTTTCCCAGTCCCTGCCGATGGAAAACATCCCCACAGCATGATGCTGCCACCACCATGTGGGGATGGTGTTCTCTGGGTGATGAGAGGTGTTGGGTTTGCGCCAGACATAGCGTTTTCCTTGATGGGCAAAAAGCTCAATTTTAGTCTCATCTGACCAGAGTACCTTCTTCCATATGTTTGGGGAGTTTTGGTGGGCGGCCCTCTCTTGGCAGGATCTGTACTTCTCCACAACTTTGTCCCTGACCTGTTTGGAGAGCTCCTTGGTCTTCATGGTGCCGCTTGCTTGGTGGTGCCCCTTGCTTAGTGGTGTTGCAGACTCTGGGGCCTTTCAGAACAGGTGTATATATACTGAGATCATGTGACACTTAGATTGCACACAGGTGGACTTGATTTAACTAATTATGTGACCTCTGAAGGTAATTGGTTGCACCAGATCTTATTTAGGGGCTTCATAGCAAAGGGGGTGAATACATAGGCACGCACCACTTTTCCGTTATTTATTTTTTAGTACTTTTTTTCATTTCACTTCACCAATTTGGACTATTTTGTGTATGTCCATTACATGAAATCCAAATAAAAATCCATTTAAATTACAGGTTGTAATGCAACAAAATAGGAAAAGCGCCAAGGGGGATGAATACTTTTGCAAGGCACTGTATGTAAAATGTAAGTAAAATGTACTGTATGTGTAACAAAAGTGTAAAACAAAAATGTAAAACTTTTGTCCTCCGAAGCGGGGGGGTGTGGGGGATGATGGATGGGCCAATTAAAAGTTGTATTTAAAAAAGTCCTTGGAGAGGCTACTTTTACAGTGTTGACTGTGTGTGTTGTAGTTGTGTGGTGGACGAGATGGACTTCTCGGGGATGGACCTTGACGATGCTCTGAGGAAGTTCCAGGCCCAGATCAGAGTTCAAGGAGAAGCCCAGAAAGTAGAGAGGCTCATAGAGGCTTTCAGGTGTGTATACTGTATTCCTGTTTACGTGTTCAATAGTCTTGCTTTGCCAAACTCATGGTTCTATTGCGTTGTTAGAGTGATAGAGAATGTGTGTTGTTTTAGGAAGTCCCTCTGAAATCTACTCTACTACTCTCTCTTTTAAGATTTTACAACATATTCTTCTTTCTCCCCAGTCAGCGGTACTGTGTGTGTAACCCAACGCTGGTCCGCCAGTTCCAGAACCCAGACACAATCTTCATCCTGGCCTTCGCCATCATCCTCCTCAACACGGATATGTACAGCCCCAACGTTAAGGCAGAGAGGAAAATGAAGATAGAGGACTTCATCAAGAACCTCAGAGGTGCCGTTGGAACAAACACATCCATACACATGCGCACAAACAAAATACTCACGTAACATTAAACTTAGCATATGGCTCCCCTTGGTGTTGGGAGAAATACAATTCTCAGGCTGGCCCCCAGACTATAATGTAGCAGCGTACTGTGATCAATTATGACTATTGCCACTGCATTTGTCTCATCCTTTTGGCTTGTATGAGTTCATGGTCATGACTCATGCCCCTCATACCTCCCAGATAATGCAAGTCTTGAGTCTTTCAATCAAATAGTTATTTCAATCAAATTAGCAAAATAATTGAATACAGCAGGAACTAGACTGGTGCATTTATACATGAACACATAACAGCCTCTCTCTTTCCCTGCATGTATTTTAGGAGTGGACAACGGCCAGGACATTCCCAGGGACCTGTTGGTTGGGATCTACCAGCGCATCCAGAAGTGGGAGCTAAGGACCAATGACGACCACGTGTCCCAAGTGCAGGCAGTGGAGAGAGTCATAGTAGGCAAAAAGCCTGTGAGTTGTCTGGGCTTGAAATGTAACTGTAGCCCCGTGTCATGTACCTGTTTAGCTTGCGAGGAGCTGTGTAGTACTAGCTGTTGTTGCTATGTGTTACAGCTTTGCCAAGCTGTAATACTAGTTCATTCTTTGTGTTACTGCTCAGCCTTAAGGAGATTTAATACTAAACTAGTTTTATTTTTGTGTTTTGTGTAGGTGATGTCTCTGCCACATCGCAGGCTGGTATGCTGCTGTCAGCTCTATGAGGTGCCTGACCCCAACCGACCCCAGAGGACAGGAGTTCACCAACGGGAGGTCTTCCTGTTCAATGACCTGCTGGTGGTAAGGCTTCCTGTAACACGTCCTCATCACAATGGGAACTCCTATGAGAGCCTCCTACTATGGCTATGTAAAGTTGGAGACCACCAGGCTATCCTAAACAATGATTTCCTCTTTTCCCCTACCTTAACAACCATATCTTCTCCATGTGCTTCCTCAGGTGACTAAGATTTTCCAGAAGAAGAAGACTTCTGTGACGTACAGTTTCAGACAGTCCTTCCCTCTAGTGGAGATGCAAGTCCACATGTTCCAGAACTCCTGTGAGACCCTGTTCCCTTCTCTGCCTGCTCCTCATATTCTTTACTCAACTTAACCATCCATCTAGATACTACATTAACTGTCTCCTCTGTACACTAGGAAACCCTTTTGCTCCCTTCACTCTGTGTGTGTGTGTGTATCTATATGTATATGCCTGTCATCATAGATCATAAAGTTAACAGCCATATGATACATTTTGTGTTTTTATGTTCCTCTCTGTCTGTCACCCAGACTACCTCCACGGTATCCGCCTGACCTCAGCGGTGCTGGGTGGGGAGAGTAAGATCCTTATCGTGTTCATGGCACCCAGTCAGCAGGACCGCACCCGCTTTGTCAGTGACCTGAGAGAGAGTATAGCTGAGGTGCAGGAGATGGAGAAGTACAGAGTAGAGTGTGAGTACACCTCCCCCTGTTGGTCATTATGGGGAACTACGGCTGTTTGTGTATTGGTGTGTGGCTCCATGGTGTAACAGAGTGGCTATTGCTTTCCTGTATCTTACCCTGTCCACCTGTAAGTGAAAAACAGGAAGAAAGACAGTGATATTAACTATTTCTAATGTCAATCTCTCTTTCGATCTCTCCCTCTCTCTCTCCTTCTCTACGTAGCTGAGTTGGAGAAGCAGAAAGGCGTGATGCGGACTGGCCTGCTGACCGGCTTGGTTGTAGGCGGAGTGGGGGTGAAGGGTGAGGTGGTGAACGGCACCCTGGGAAGGCCCAGTCTAGATGACAACTACTCTGCAGGAGAGGGACTGAAACGCTCCGCGCTCAGCTCATCTCTCCGAGACCTATCAGACGGAGGTGAGACACATACACACACATACACACACACACACACACATACACACACATGCGCGCACACACACACACACACATACACACACACAGACACACAAACCAACACACATACACACACTCATACACACACATATAAACACACACACACATAAACACATACACACACAAACCACTCCCTCTTGAAAATGGTGTCTTATTCTAATAAAATACTCTCACTAATCCTGCCGATTGATAGAGATATGCAATATGCTATTTTTACTGACTGACTGGGTTCTTTATAAGAATTAACAGAAATTCTTCAGACACTAGAGTCTAGACACTGAGAGGGTACCCTACCCATGGGACTGCTTGAGATTCTTCCCTTGCTTCGCCTCCTAGTTGCATCGTGTTCTATTTCCTCTGGCACATGAATACACAGTATCTGCTGCATCTCTGCAAGCTCACTCTGAAACATTATGTTACTGTATTTCCCCTCTTCCGCAACCTGCCTCTTCCTGGCTGGGTGCAGGGAAACGTGGTCGCAGTAACAGTGTTGGCTCCCTCGACAGTACCATGGAAGTAAGTCTGAATGGACTAACTGAATTGTGCACCTTCCCCTTTAATGCGTATCCCTCAAGCAAAGCCATCCCAGTACATACCTTTAATAGAGCCATAAATGTGTCATTCCCCTGGTCCTTGACCCTGACCCCTCATTAGCAGGCTCTCTGTGTGACGTGTGTGACTGACGTGTGTGACTGACGTGTGTGACTGACGTGTGTGACTGACGTGTGTGACTGACGTGTGTGACTGACGTGTGTGACTGACGTGTGTGACTGACGTGTGTGACGGATGTGTGCATGTGTGTGTTCTGGAATGTGTTTTGTATGACCTGTATGGCATGTTCTTGTTCTCAACTCTTGTTCTTCTCCATTCTTGCATTGTTTGTTTGTTTCATTGATTTGTTGTTGGTGTGCAGGTGTTGTGATGATTGTAAAGTGACATACTCATTGCAGTGTTCCAGTGATTTGTGATATGATGTCATACTGTATGTATGAGTTACTTCATATCATATCTTCTTTGCAGAGCTCCTCCTCAACTGACCTTCCTCTTCCTCAGGGTTCCATCATTAGCAGCCCCCGGCCCCACCAGCGTTACCCGGTTCCGGGCGTGGTCCCAGGCTGCTACCCTACAGAAGACTACCGGCCGCATCGCCCCATCCTGAGCCCCGGAACGGGGGTGGGGGGTGGGCCGGGGCAACAACACACCGCTGCTGGGATGGGAGTTGGGGGGGTCCCCAGCAGTGTAGAGAGAGCAGGGGTGGGGAGCGGCCCTGGGGGGGGCAATACGGGCTCCTTCCTGGGCTCTCTATTCGGCAGCAAACGCGCCAAACCGCCAAGTCCCCTTATACCACCGGGGCCACCCTACCCCGCCCCTGTCCCACCACCCACTACGGGAGGGCCCCCTCCTCACTCCCCTTCATCTCTGTGCCAGTCGGAGGGGGGCCCTTCCAAGATCCAGGCCCTGCATGCGCAGTACTGCCACACGGCCGCTGTGCAGCCCCCTCCCCCCTACTACCATCACCATCGCTACCACGTCCAAGCTGGCCCTCCTCCCTTGCCAGGCGGGGGCGTGCCCCCTCATATCCTTCAGAGAGGGCCGCTCCCCTGTCGCCCTCCTATTGGCCCCCCTCACGCCCAGCTCCAGCAGCTGGCCCATCTCTCCCAGTTTTCCCAGCATGGCATGCAGGGTCGCTACGGCAACATAGCGGTGGGCTGTCCTCCCCCCCTTTCTCCTCACTCCCAACATTCCCAGAACCCCCAGTTCGCCCTGTACCACACGCAGACCACACAATCTATCAGGGGGGGCGCTGTGCCAAGCAAACCTCCTCTGACTTTGTCTCACTCCCACCCGCACCCCCACGCACACTCCCACACCCACCCCGGGCATCCCCTCAGTGCCGCGCCACACCCCACCCCCCACCCACATCAGTCTCACTTCATTTTTGGCACGCTGCCCCACCAACATCAGCACCAGCAGCCGCCCGCCTCCGTCAACGTCCATCACGCCGCGTCCGCCGCCCAGTATCAGCCCCTGTACCCTCCTCTCTCTTCCATCCCCCCTCCCCCCCCCCCACTCCCCTTTACCCCCCCCTTCTATCCCCCTTACCCCTCTTACCCCTCTCTGCCCTCACCCCCCCCAGCACCCCGGGCAGCCTCAGCAGGGGCCCCAGGTGACGGGGGCTGGGGCGACTGGCACAGGGGGCAGCTCCAAATCCAAACCTATCAACCGGATCAGCACGGTGGTGTGAGGAACAGAACGTGGGGGCACAGAGGGCAGAGGTCAGAGGGCACGATGGAGGAAGTGGGCGGAGCTAGGGCCAGGGCTAGTAGAGGTGAGCAGGACAGCAGTAGCAGTAACAACAGCGCCAGTGACAAGAAGAAACGCAACTTATTTCGCCTCTGCTACTTTCACCTCCGCTTCCCACACATGTAGATAGATAGGGCAAGAGAGACAGTTGGAGCTGAATAGCATGCATATAACTGAATACACAAACATACCTTCACACATACAGTACAGGAAACCCAAGCACACACAGGCAGAATCAATACACATAAAGCAAGAAACGCCCACATGTATGCACACAAATATGTTTGTATATAGTAAAGGCAAAGGCTAGCACAATCATGCATATTACACATACACTCAGTGGCCAGTTTATTAGGTACACCCATCTAGTACCGGGTCGGACCCCATTTTGCCTCCAGAACAGCCTGAATTCTTCAGCGCATGGATTCTACAAGGTGTCGTAAATGTTCCACAGGGATGTTGGTCCATGCTGATGCGATGGCATCACGCAGTTGCTGCAGAATGGACGGCATAACATTCATGCTGTGAACAGCCCGTTCCATCTCATCCCAAAGATGCTCTATTGGGTTTGGTCAGCAACAATGTTCAGATACACTGTGGCGTTCAGTCGTAGCTCAATTGGTATCAAGGGATCTAACGTGTGCCAGGAAAACATTCTCCACACCATTACACCACTGCCACCAACCTGTACCGTTGACACCAGACAGGATGGGGCCATGGGCGCATGCTGCTTACACCAAATCCTGACTCTGCCATCAGCATGACGCAACAGGAACCGGGATTCGTCGGACCAGGCGTTGTTTTTCCACTCCTCAATTGTCCAGTGTTGGTGATGGCGTGCCCACTGTATCCGCTTCTTCTTGTTTTTAGCTGATGGGGGTGGAACCCGATGTGGGTGGTCGTCTGCTGCAATAGCCCATCCGTGACAATGATCGATGAGTTGTGCAGTCCGAGATGCCGTTCTACACACCACTGTTGTACAGCGCCGTTATTTGTCTGTTTGTGGCCCGCCTGTTAGCTTGCCATTCTCCTTTGACCTCTCTCATCAACGAGCTGTTTTCGCCCAGCGGACTGCTGCTATCTGGATGTTGTCGCACAATTCTCTGTAAACCCTAGACACTGTAGTGCATGAAAAGCCCACGAGGGCGGACGTTTCTGATATACTGGATCCGGCACGCCGATCATACCACGCTCAAAGTCGCTTAGGTCACTCGTTTTACCCATTCTAACGTTCAATTGAACAGTAACTGAATGCCTCGATGCCTGTCTGCCTGCTTTATAGAGCAAACCACAGCCACATGAATCACTGTCTGTAGAAGCGATCCATTTTTGTGAACTGGTGGTGTACCTAATAAACTGGCCACTGAGTGTATACTACAGTTGGATAGAGACTATAGGTGGTTCTGTTGCAGTTTCTCAGGTGTATTCTATGAGCTCTCAGCACACAAACTCATAAGGGAGAGTCACAGGTAGGAGCAATGAGGTCGCAGGCAGGAATTAGCATCACACACACACACAATTAACAATTTCTATAGCCATAGAACCGATGCTAGTAGTAAATGGACAGTAGAGGGCCTGTAACCCAGTGTTTCACTCTCTGAAGTATTATTGGAAACTCTGGACTCTGCCAAGACATGAGCTTGAAACTGTTTTAAACACAGGTACCAACATGTAATCGTGCAACGTTATCAATTGGACAAAGCTAGTCTCTCGTAATGACGGAAGCATGCAAGATTTGGTTCTGGGTTGTCGAGATAAGGACCGATAGAAAGACCAACTCCACCCACCTGGATATGAAAAAGGCTTCAACACTAAATACATTCCAGCAGGGTTGTGCATTGTAAACAGCCATTTAGGATAGTTGCAAAAAATTTCCCTTGACTTTGCAATAATTTATTCAGCTTAATGTCTTTGTCAATTTCCATAGCAGGTCTTCATCACTGAAAGGTATCCTTTTTGAATGTAGACCTCAGAGAAATGTTGCTTTGTCTTAAACTTTTATGACTATTGCACGGTTCAATAGCAGTCTTAGGCTCTATGGTCTTTTACATGTTAAGCGAAGTCATCTGATTTCATAAGATTTACATGCATTCCCTATGGGGTGTGTGTATTAATGAAACTACCAATCATATTTTTGAATGTTTTTAAGCTTTTTTTGCTGTTGAATAAATGTTACATATATACTTGCTATGAGTATGATGAATATTGTCTAATAACATAACTGTTTTGATCCAGTGATTAATTATATATAAATAATTGATTGATTGATTAGATGTTTGATTATAAATGATTATACAGAGGATATATACACGTATTAATTCACTCATACTTTTGATATGTAATGAGGGTGTTATAAAGTGTGATTTCTTTTTGTTCTCTATGATGATTGCCATCGATAACTTCTATTATCAGTTATTATTATTGATTGTTGAAAATATTAGTTCATATTTATGACTATTTTTGTTCTAATATAGCTGTGTACCCTCTCTATTTCCTTCAATTTTTTCTGAACTTGCAGTGACACAATTTCTAAAAATTGGGTCATTGGAGTCAAAATTCACCTTAACAGATAGGGGACCATTTTAAATTATGTTTATGTCGTTTTATGTGTTTTGAATAAATGCTTTCCCCCTCAGACCCCTTCAAAGATCCCCTTAAGGGCTTTGACCTTTGACCTGGTCATATACAATGACTCTCATTTAATTGGTGACCCTGCCGTTTATGTCCTCCCTATTATCAGGAGACTCGCTTACAAGCATCAGGTCTTGTTGAGAGTTTCTCACATGGCGTGTGTTTGGACAGTTTATGTCTTTGAACAAGCACGCTTTGTAATGCAGTTTTGTGGTTTTGCACACGTGGTGTCTTAAAGTCAGAAATGGCATTCTTTAAAAAAAAAAAACGCTCCTCCCATACCCCCTTGCCAGTCCTCAGAGAACTCACCACCACCCTAATACCCTTCATCCCAGCAACCTTACAGAATGGGCTTGTCATTAGATCAAACAAGTTTGCTTATCTTCTCCTCTATCATCTCTGTCAACCCCCTTTTTAACCTCCTCTCTCTGTCCTTCTATTGCACTGTGTTTGAATAATGCTAGGTTGAAGAAGGGACAAAGGAAGTGACAAAAGGGAATCATTTAATTTTAGGATGGTGAGATGTAGTTAGAAATGTTAGACAATACTTGTTAAAATTAAGAGACAGATTAACTTTATAATCCAGAATAAGAGTATGGGTAAAGAGTCAGGGAAAAATAAAAGGTTTTAGGGATGGTTAATGTTGAAGCTTTGTGTTGGCTATTTCCTGTCTAAAATCTTTGTGACCCCTCTTGCATGAATATATCTGCACTTATTGGATGGATTGTACTGTATAAACCTGAATGTACATATTATATTACAAATACTTAATAACTTTGGAAATAAATATTTTCATTTTGTTATTAAGGTGTGTGTGTGTGTGTGTGTGTGTGTGTGTGTGTGTGTGTGCGTGCATGCGTGTGTGTGAGAAAGAAAGAGGAGCAGGGGACTTTGGTCCGATTGAATATTGAAATATTTTTATTTTAGACTGAAGGTGAGAGACTAAATTGAAGTAATGAAGTGTTTGTATGTCAGAGCACTAATTGATATTATTTTAAACATACAAAAATTAATTTGTGTATGTAGTAAGTGTAAACTGAAAGAATAGAGAATTGAGATGTGAATATTTATTGCTTCTGACATATTAAAAAGTGTCCTTGCAGTGAAGCAATCTTCTGTCTTTTATTGATGTCTTGACAGAATAAATGTCTGCAAATGTGATGGATGATGAACACAGCTCTATAGTTGGACTTTCTAAACCCTGTTTTACAATGTCATCAACAGCACCATCTAGTGGCTAAACTTATTTTCTGCCACCGATGATCATGATGTCCCTGGGACGTGATGTTCCTGGAACAGGTATTATTCCTGAGACTGATTGTAGGTGTGATACAGAATGAGGTCCCTGGGACTGGACAACATAGCCTTTTCTTTGTACTTTATAAAAAAGTATCCAACACCAGATAGCCTATATCCTAATATAGGTACTGACTTGTGACTTCAGTTTAAAACTAGATTATAATAGGCATGGCTCACTCATCCAGTTTTGTTGTGTTTAAGTAGTGTACATTTGAGAGGTAAACAGTTAATTTCTTTCATTTATACTTAATTTTATCAGACAAACAATTCCCAGCATTAAGCAGATCACCAATTATAAAAAAAAAAAAAAAAACCTCAAATCAGACATCAAAAAGTAATCTAACATCACCGCCAACGGCGTTTTGATAACAAGAGGTGCCAGTAGGTATATTACTCCGTGTCACGTACCTGCGTGCATGCATAATGCACCTCTGCCATCCTCCTCCACATCTGAATTAATGTGCAGTACCGTCTGCCACCATTCTTATTCATTGAATAATAGCACACGTTTTAAACTATATACTAATTGTATGTAGCCATGCGTATAGTAGTAAAACAGTGAATGGGTATCATAATTCGTGAAATAGGTCAAGATAAGAGAAAATGCGTCTATGGACTACTTTCTATAAACGAACGAACGTGGAGGGATTAATTCCTACCCTCTCTTCCGCTCAAAAAACTCATCTGTCCTAGTCAGTAGTTGAGAGATTTAAGGTTGTGCTTAGGCAATGATGAAACTAAGATGGCGTCTAACACGGACAGGATGAACGGGGGATAGCGAAATTGGTCACAAATTGATTTGATGGGGACGTAATTCTCACAGTCACTCGTTTACAAGCAAACGAGTCTTTGAAGTGGATCATCTTTACACTTCTACATAAATAGAAGTGGATCTATGGGGGAAGCGAGGCTGAAAACGGCCAACTTTACGTGAGCTAGCTGGACCTAGCTTGCTAGCTAACCAACGACAGCTAGCTAAACAACAACAAAGTGAGGAGGATAGTCTCAGGAGAAGGAAGTGTCTACGGGATTGTCCGAAATCTTTTGATACAAAATAAAGCATTCACATCTGGCTTGGGACAGGTCCAAAACAGAAGGAACCAATATTTCCAGTGAAACTTCCACGCCAATTTGCAGTGATATCCGAGACCGGTGGGCTGAAAAGTGGAGGCCATAACGACCGTTCGCTTCAGCCACCCTAATCGTGACCCAGTGTTGAACAATAGACCCCGTGAGCTTTCAAGACACCTAAACGGGCAATTATTGGTGACATCTGAGGCCATTATTTCGTCTTTGACCACGCTGAACGTGTCAGGAGGAGTTGCTGTCCAAGTACCAGCTTTCTTATATGATGTAAGTCTATAGAGTTAGTCAAATAACGTTAGATATACATAGTTCTTATCGAGTAAGTTAGCTAACTAGTTTAACTGCAAAAAATCAAACTCTTTGGGATTTTCCTAGTTTGTCACCAAGGACCTATGTATGTGCCAAATGGCCCATATTTTGTGGTGTTTGACACTGACAATATTCATTTGTTACCTAACTTGGATGGATTGCTCCCATATTTAGTCTTACTAATAATGTTTAAGTGGATGAATGCAATCAGGCCTTCCATTTTAGTAATTTAGCCTTAACCCCTGTGACGTCTATGTTGAGATTAGGGACTTAATAATTTGAGAATCTGTCCAACATTTGAGTAGTAAGCTTCTTTAAATGTCTTTATCATTATTTTCTATTGAAAAGAAATGTAGGAGGCCTTCTTAGACAACATACCTCAGTTCTTGTGAAATCAATTGTAGTAAAGTTAGTAAGTGTATTATTTTCTGTTGATGACAAACACCAATTTGACCTCTTGATGCATCTTATGGGACATATCCACGACACAAATATTTGCTGTGGCTTTAAGGTAGGGGGAGGGGTGACCAGTTACATAGAACTTCTCCCAATTTTGGGTTAACAACAGGTTTGGGTTTTTGGTGTCTTAGGCTGTGTTTTAGACAGGCAGCCCAATTCTGATCTTTTTTTCACTAATTGGTCTGTAGACCAATCAGATCAGCTCTGAGAAAGATCTGATGTGAAAATATCTGTTGTGATTGGTCAAAAGACCAATTAGTGGAAAAAAGTAAATAATTGGACTGCCTGTCTAAATGCAGTTTTACTACATTCCAAATATCAGAACAGGATTCTACTCAAAAACGTTATTCACAAGTAGAAGAATCATGTAACATTTGTGAAACAATGGCCATTCAAAATTGTTGGTTGTCTCCCTTGGGCCCCTTTTCCTTTGTTTGATCAGATGAAAAACATACTCTAAAGCGCTGTTAATGTATCCAATTAGAGTTATGGAACTGTACTTATTAACTTTTTAATAACTGGTTATCCCATAGGGAAAAAGACCATGTGATTGTTTGCCCCTTAGCCTAATTTTGAACTTGTCTCAACACATTTCTTGTCTCCTATTGACAAACATATATTTTTATGATAGCTATTCATGTATTACATAGAATGTGTTGTTTACAAAGATTACATAAACAATGGATTAATACAATCTTAGGTTTCGGTGATGGGTAAAGTATAATTCAGAGCCCACAGACACAGATAGACAATCTGGACCCTTTCTAAAATTAGCCGCCGAAATTGTCGCAACCCCTATCACCAGCCTGTTCAACATCTCTTTCGTATCGTCTGAGATCCCCAGAGATTGGAAAGCTGCTGCGGTCATCCCCCTCTTCAAAGGGGGTGACACTCTAGATCCAAACTGTTACAGACCTATATCCATCCTGCCCTGCCTTTCGAAAGTATTTGAAAGCCAAGTTAACAAACAGATCACCGACCATTTAGAATCCCACCTTACCTTCTCCGCTATGCAATCTGGTTTCTGAGCTGGTCATGGGTGTACCTCAGCCACGCTCAAGGTCCTAAACGATATAATAACCGCGATCGATAAAAGACAGTACTGTGCAGCCGTCTTCATTTACCTGGCCAAGGCTTTTGACTCTGTCAATCACCGCATTCTTATTATTATGTGGTCCTCTGTAGCTCAGCTGGTAGAGCACGGCGCTTGTAACGCCAAGGTAGTGGGTTCGATCCCCGGGACCACCCATACACAAAAAATGTATGCACGCATGACTGTAAGTCGCTTTGGATAAAAGCGTCTGCTAAATGGCATATTATTATTATATTATTATTGGCAGACTAAATAGCCTTGGTTTCTCAAATGACTGCCTCGCCTGGTTCACCAACTACTCTCAGATAGAGTTCAATGTGTCAAATCGGAGGGCCTGTTGTCTGGACCTATGGCAGTCTCTATGGGGGTGCCACAGGGTTCAATTCTCGGTCCGACTCTATTCTCTGTGTATATCAATGATGTCGCTCTTGCTGCTGGTGACTCTCAGATCCACCTCTACGCAGACTACACCATTTTGTATACAGCTGGCCCTTCATTGAACACTGTGTTAACAAACCTCCAAACGAGCTTCAATGCCATACAACACTCCTTCCGTGGCCTCCAACTGCTCTTAAACGCTAGTAAAACTAAATGCATGCTCTTCAATCGAACGCTGTTTGCACCTGCCTGCCCGACTAGAATCACTACTCTCGGCGGCTCTGACTTAGAATATGTGGACAACTACAAATACCTAGGTGTCTGGTTAGACTGTAAACTCTCCTTCCAGACTCACATTAAGCATCTCCAATCCAAAGTTAAATCTAGAATCGGCTTCCTATTTCGCAACAAAGCCTCCTTCACTCATGCTGCTAAACATGCCCTCGTAAAACTGACTATCCTACCGATCCTTGACTTTGGCGATGTCATTTACAAAATAGCTTCCACCACTCTACTCAGCAAATTGGATGTAGTCTATCACAGTGCCATCCGTTTTGTCACCAAAGCCCCATATACTACCCACCATTGTGACCTGTACGCTCTTGTTGGCTGGCCATCACTACATATTCGTCGCGAAACCCACTGGCTCCAGGTCATCTATAAATCCCTTCTAGACAAATCCCTGCCTTATCTTAGCTCATTGGTCACCATAGCAACACCCCCCCCCCCCCCCCCCCCCCCCGTAGTCTGCGCTCCAGCAGGTATATCTCACTGGTCATCCCCAAAGCCAACACCTCCTTTGGTCGCCATTCCTTCCAGTTCTCTGCTGCAAATGACTGGAACGAACTGCAAAAATCTTTGAAGCTGGAGACACTTATCTCCCTCATTAACTTTGAGCATCAGTTGTCAGAGCAGCTTACCGATCACTGCACCTGTACACAGCCCATCTGTAATTAGCCCACCCAACTACCTCATCCCCATACTGTTATTTATTTTGCTCATTTGCACCTCAGTATCTCTATTTGCACATCATCTTCTGCACATCTATCACTCCAGTGTTAATACTAAATTATAATTGTAATTATTTTGCACTATGGCCTATTTATTGCCTTACCTCCATAACTTACTACATTTGCACACACTGTATATAGATTTTCTATTGTGTTATTGACTGTACGTTTTGTTTATTCCATATGTAACTCTGTGTTGTTTTTTTTTTTCCGCACTGCTTTGCTTTATCTTGTCCAGGTCTCAGTTGTAAATGAGAACTTGTTCTCAACTGGCTTACCTGGTGAAATAAAATAAAAATTGTGACATAGCTACACGGCTGTGAGACCACCGTCTGCGGGAGACGCACAGCCCAACCGAACACCTTCCCAAAATCTCCAACAAACACGTCTCTGCGTACGCGTCCTTTATTCATTTGAATGTGGTGACAGGTCGAGAAATTGCTTGAGCCGCGCAGAGAATTCCAAAAGAATGAAAGCCAACCATCCAATTTTCTAGAACACTGCTGTGTGGACGTGTACACGCTTTGGACTCTGATAAGCGCTTAAGACAGTTGTTCCATCCTTAAGACATGTATAAATGTATTCTTCAAGAATCAATGGGTAGCTATATTATATAGGACCTATATCAAAAATTGAAATTACCATTGATTAGCAGGAAATCTTACAGATTGTGCCTAGACTTCTCATAGTGACAGTTCATTTGACTGCCAATCTACTTAGCTAAGTAAGTAGCTTCATTGTGTGGTGACTTGACATGCTGACTCTTGACCTTACCTGTTGCCAGGGCGATGGAGGGGGAAGACTTTGTGCCTCCTCCGGAGTGCCCAGTGTTCGAACCGTCATGGGAGGAGTTTCAGGATCCCCTGGGCTACATTGCCAAGATCCGTCCAATTGCAGAGAAGTCTGGAATCTGCAAGATTCGCCCTCCTGCTGTAAGTGTTTACTGATGACACACATCTGTCATTTAACCCATTGAAACCTGTGGAGTTGAATACGGTTGTTTTCCTCCAACCTTAACCAATCTGATGTAAGTTTCACTGTGTTGTTTGTGTCTAGCACACAACAAAACTAATGTCCTCTTTCTCTCTGACAAGCTGAGCAAAGGATTGAGTTATTGCAGGAGATGGAATGACAAGTGTTTACATCAAACAGACATTGATCAAAGCTTTCCCTTTCCACTACAGGACTGGCAGCCACCCTTCGCTGTGGAGGTGGATAGCTTCCACTTCACACCCCGTATACAGAGACTCAATGAGCTGGAGGTTTGTCTCTCTCCATCCTATGTTGTATCACTGAATGGTTGAGTCTTGGTATTGAGTAACTGTTCTAGAAGTCACTTGTTCTGTTTGAATCAAATATTCTATTTTTGTTTTCAGTCCATCTAATCATATTCACTCCTGATCCCGCTCTCCTCAGGCGGAGACACGAGTCAAGCTGAACTACTTGGATCGGATTGCCAAGTTCTGGGAGATCCAGGGATCCTCCCTCAAGATCCCAAACATCGAGAGACGTATCTTGGACCTTTTCAGTCTGTCCAAGGTGCCGGAGCATGTCTTACTTCAGTATAACTAAAAAATAAGAGATTATTTTCAAAATTGTGTTAGATCTTTCTGTTGCTAACACTCTCCAACTGTACTTAAGCCAGTAAAACTGAGCTGACTGGACACTTACTGTATTATTTTGTGCTGTAGGTTGTGATAGAGGAGGGAGGGTTTGATATAGTCAGTAAGGAGCGACGCTGGGCTCGTGTGGCCCAGAAGCTTGGCTACCCCACTGGCAAGAACATTGGCTCCCTTCTGCGCTCACACTACGAGAGGATTGTCTACCCCTTTGAGGTGTTTCACGCTGGGGCCAGTCTGCCGGTAACGCTACACTCACCCACTTTGCTCCTGCTCTTTTGCGCCTACACAGGCGATCTGTCAACTTATGATCTATCAAACAGAATTTCACTTACATGACTTGCATTCATTATTTGTTTAGCCAGTTGCAATGTTAATAAATGGTGTCCATCCATAGTCATGAATGTAGAAGAGGGTTTAACCCCAGGATTTCTGTGTGTAGCAGACTAAGCCAAAGCTATATGATGGAGAGGAGGTGGATAGAGAATACAAGCCCCACTCCATCCCCCTACGCCAGTCTGTCCAGCCTTCCAAGATAAGCAGCTACGGACGCCGAGCCAATCGTCTCCAGCCAGACGTGAGTTACGGCACACAATCCACAATTACCAATATATTCCCTTTTAACACTATCAACCTGTGTGTATAGTTCACGTTGTGTGTGTGTGATAGTTAAAACCTTTTTCACAGATCTTAACAGAAGTTGGTTATTTTGACTCATTGCCATGATCGTGTTGATCATTAATGTAAGCTCTCACATTCCACAACTGAATAATCAACAACCATGATCTATAAATAGCCAAATGTATTCATTGGGTGATGTACTGCCTTCTGAGAACTGGAAGTGAAACTAGTGCTCTACTCTGGTTATTTCAGATCTCAGTTAGTGTAATACCTTGGGAGAACAACACCTGCCATTAACACAAATCATGTTACATTCGTAGATGTTATTATCTATGTAGACTATCAGTGATGGATTTTGTTAGAACTTGAATAGTAGTCATGGAGATAAACTTGTATCATACGCCCATATAATCAAGAAAAATATAAACGCAACATGTAAAGTGTTGGTCCCGTGTTTTAATGAGCTGAAATAAAAGAACCCAGACATTTTCCATATGCACAAAAAGCTTATGTCTCTCAAATTGTATGCAAATTTGTTTACATCCCTGTTAATGAGCATTTCTCCTTTGCCAAGATAATCCATCCACCTGACAGGTGTGGCATAGCAAGAAGCTGTTTAAACAGCATGATCATGCTGTTTAAACAGCATGATCATTACACAGGTGCACCTTGTGCTGGTGATAATAAAAGGCCACTCTAAAATGTGCAGTTTTGTCACACAACACAATGCCACAGATGTCTCAATTTTTGAGGGAGTGTGCAATTTGCATGCTGACTGCAGGAATGTCCACCAGAGCTGTTTCCAGAGAATGTAATGTTAATTTCTCTACCATAAGCCGCCTCCAACTTCGTTTTTAGAGAATTTGGAAGTACATCCAACCGGCCTCACAACCGCAGACCCTGTGTATGGCGTCGTGTGGGTGAGCTGTTTGCTGATGTCAACGTTGTGAACAGAGTGCCCCATGCTGGCGGCGGGGTTATGGTATGGGCAGGCATAAGCTACGGACTACGAACACCATTTGCATTTTATCGATAGCAATTTGAATACACAAAAATACGTGACGAGATCCTGAGGCCCATTGAGGCCCTTTTTTTTAAAGGTGTCTGTGACCGACAGATGCATATCTTTATTCCCAATCATGTGAATTCCATAGATTAGGGCCTAATTTATTTATTTCAATTAACTGATTTCCTCATGACCTGTAACTCAGTAATGTCTTTTAAATTGTTGCATGTTGCATTTATAATTTTGTTCAGTATAATAATACCCGTCTCTTCTTTTGGCAATAAAAACCACATAACTTTTCATTTTGCAGATACAATATATATACAAAAGTATGTGGACACCCCTTCAAATTAGTGGATTTGGTTATTTCAGCCACACCCGTTGCTGACCGGTGTATAAAATCAAGCACACCGCCATGCAATCTCCATAGACAAACATTTATAGTAGAATGGCCTTACTGAAGAGCTCAGTGACTTTCAACGGGGCACCGTCATAGGATGCCATCTTTCCAACAAGTCAGTTTGTCAAATTTCTGCCCTGCTAGAGCTGCCCCGGTCAACACCTCCACTGTCTTCAACCAGGATCTCAGCGATCACTGCCTCATTGCCTGCGTCCGTAATGGGTCTGCTGTCAAAAGACCACCCCTCATCACTGTCAAACGCTCCCTAAAACACTTCAGCAAACAGGCCTTTCTAATTGACCTGGCCCGGGTATCCTGGATGGATATTGACCTCATTCCGTCAGTAGAGGATGCCTGGATGTTCTTCAAAAGTGCTTTCCTCTCCATCTTAAATAAGCATGCCCCATTCAAAAAATTCAGAACTAAGAAAATATATAGCCCCTGGTTCACCCCAGACTTGACTGCCCTTGACCAGCACAAAAACATCATGTGGCGTACTGCATTAGCATCGGACAGCCCCCACGATATGCAACTTTTCAGGGAAGTCAGGAACCAATATACACAATCAGTTAGGAAAGCAAAGGCTAACTTTTTCAAACAGAAATGTGCATCCTGTAACACTAACTCCAAAAAGTTTTGGGACACTGTAAAGTCCATGTAGAATAAAAGCACCTCCTCCCAGCTACCCACTGCACTGAGGCTAGGAAACACTGTCACCACCGATAAGTCTACGATAATCGAGAATTTCAATAAGCATTTTGCTATGGCTGGCCATGCTTTCCACCTGGCTACCCCTACCCCGGCCCCCAGCTCTGCACCCTCCGCTGCAACTTGCCCCCCTCAAATGACTGCCTCGCCTGGTTCACTAACTACTTCTCAGATAGAGTTCAATGTGTCAAATCGGAGGGCCTGTTGTCAACCTCTGGCAGTCTCTATGGAGGTGCCACAGGGTTCAATTCTCGGGCCGACTCTATTCTCTGTGTATATCAATGATGTCGCTCTTGCTGCTGGTGACTCTCAGATCCACCTCTACGCAGACTACACCATTTTGTATACATCTGGCCCTTCATTGGACACTGTGTTAACAAACCTCCAAACGAGCTTCAATGCCATACAACACTCCTTCCGTGGCCTCCAACTGCTCTTAAACGCTAGTAAAACTAAATGCATGCTCTTCAATTGAATGCTGCTTGCACCTGCCCACCCGACTAGAATCACTACTCTCGGCGGGTCTGACTTAGAATATGTGGACAACTACAAATACCTAGGTGTCTGGTTAGACTGTAAACTCTCCTTCCAGACTCACATTAAGCATCTCCAATCCAAAGTTAAATCTAGAATCGGCTTCCTGTTTCGCAACAAAGCCTCCTTCACTCATGCTGCTAAACATGCCCTCGTAAAACTGACTATCCTACCGATCCTTGACTTCGGCGATGTCATTTACAAAATAGCTTCCAACACTCTACTCAGCAAATTGGATGTCGTTTATCACAGTGCCATCCGTTTTGTCACCAAAGCCCCATATACTACCCACCATTGTGACCTGTACGCTCTCGTTGGCTGGCCCTCACTACATATTTGTCGCCAAACCCACTGGCTCCAGGTCATCTATAAATCACTTCTAGGCAAATCCCTGCCTTATCTTAGCTCATTGGTCACCATAGCAACGCCCACCCGTAGTATGCGCTCCAGCAGGTATATCTCACTGGTCATCCCCAAAGCCAACACCTCCTTTGGCCGCCATTCCTTCCAGTTCTCTGCTGCAAATGACTGGAACGAACTACAAAAATCTCTGAAGCTGGAGACACTTATCTCCCTCATTAACTTTAAGCATCAGTTGTCAGAGCAGCTTACCGATCACTGTACCTGTACACAGCCCATCTGTAATTAGCCCACCCAAACTACATCATCCCCATATCTTATTTACGTTTTATTATTTTGCTCATTTGCACCCCAGTATTCATTGCACTCACTCTGGTCTATCACTCCAGTGTAATACTAAATGTATAAGTCTACTGAGTGGCGCAGTGGTCTACACTGCATCGCGTCTCTGTGTCCTGGACTGGTTCTCCAGGCTGTCGCGCGGCCGCGACTCTCATGGCGGCGCACAATTGGCATCGTGTAATATGTACATTGATAAGTTATGTGCGTTGCAACGCAGGTGTGAGTTCATTCCACGGTGGCCAGTATTAAAAAATAGTCATAATTAAGTCGCTTGGATAGAGCGTCTGCTAATATAAATTAAATGTAGTAATTATTTTGCACTACCTATTATTGCTTACTCCATAACTTACTACATTTGCACACACTGTATATATATTTTCTATTGTGTTATTGACTGTACGTTTTTGTTTATTCCATATGTAACTCTGTGTTGTTGTTTTTATCGCACTGCTTTGCTTTATCTTGGCCAGCTTGCAGTTGTAAATGAGAACTTGTTCTCAACTGGCTTACCTGGTTAAATAAAAAATAAATAAAAAACTAAGTGCTGTTATTGTGGAAAGGTCTATGAGCAACAACGGATCAGCCGCGAAGTGGTAGGCAACACAAGCTCACAGAACGGGACCACCAAGTGCTGAAGTGCGTAAAAATTGTCTGTCCTCAGTTCCAACACTCAATACCGAGTTCCAAACTGCCTCTGCAAACAACGTCATCACAAGAACTGTTCGTCGGGAGCTTCATGAAATGGGTTTCCATGGCCGAGCAGCCGCACACAAGCCTAAGATCACCATGTGCAATGCCAAGCGTTGGCTGGAGTTGTGTAAAGCTCACCGCCATTGGACTCTGGAGCAGTGGAAACGCGTTCTCTGGAGTGATGAATCACGCTTCACCATCTGGCAGTCCGACAGACGAATCTGGGTTTGGCGGATGCCAGGAGAAGGCTACCTCCTCCAATGCATAGTGCCAACTGTAAAGTTCGGTGGAGAAGGAATAATGGTCTGTGGCTGTTTTTTCATGGTTAGGCGAAGGGAAGGGAAATCTTAACGCTACAGCGTACCAGGACATTCTAGACGATTCTGTGCTTCCAACTTTGTGGCAACAGTTTGGGGAAGGCCCTTCCCTGTTTCAGCATGACAATGCCCGCGTGCACAAAGCGAGGTCCATACAGAAATGGTTTGTCGAGATCGGTGTGGAAGAACTTAATTGGCCTGCACAGAGCCCTGACCTCAACCCCATCGAACACCTTTGGGATGAATTGGAATGCCGACTGCGAGCCAGGCCTAATCGCCTAACATCGGTGCCCAACCTCACTAATGCTTGTGGCTTAATGGAAGCAAGTCCCCGCAGCAATGTTCAAACATCTAGTGGAAAGCCTTCCCAGAAGAGGTGAGGCTGTTATAGCAGCAAAGGGGGGGCCAACACCAACTCAATTTTAATGCCCATGATTTTGGAATGAGATGTTCAACAAGCAGGTGTCCACATACTTTTGGTCATGTAGTGTATGTTATTGTCGAATTCATAACATAAAATAATAAAATAATATACTCTGATTTAAATGTCAATAGGCCAAATGAGTCATTAATACAAATTAATTTAATCTGAGTTTCAGCTCTTCCGCTCCAAATTGGAAAATGTTTATTTCTAGGCTAGATGAAGAGCCGTTAATGCACTTAGAATACATCCAGCTTGCTTGCTCTGTTTGCTGCCATGTTGTTGCTATGGTGTCTGCTGCTTCTTGCCCCATGTTACACTAGATCTCACTATACACTATATGTTACGCTATATCCTCTCGCTCTCTCTCTGTGTCTCTTTCAACATACTGGTTGTCCATCTTGTCACGCCTACCATTGAAAATTGTAACTATCTGTACCCGTATCTTTCACCCATTTGGTGCATTCTGTTCCTGCACCATTTTGCTTTTAAAGTTGTAGTGCGGTGAGACCTTTGATTTGCTTCCCCATAGTCCAGATTTACTCCAGATGTTATGTTTTTTTTAAGTCAGTGATATAAATAACATGTCATCAGATGAATCTTTATTACCCACAGTAAGAGTCTGATGATATGGTTTTGTTTTAAACCCAAGTATGCATCCTGTACTTGTTTCATTTGCTGCTCTCATTGCATTCTGAGTGCTCCGTTATATACAGATCAAAAAGTGCTTGTGACGTTATCAATAAAAGCACAACAATATTTGGCAAACACATTGTTGTCCCACACCTAGGCCTATATATTAGAATATTCTATGTTATATCCATCTCTCCATATGCCTTGTTCCCACTCTGCCCTGTTACCTTCAATGACTGTTTTTTTTATTGGTCCTGTCTCAGTCCATTGTTGCTGTTGTCTTCCCATGCAGGGTCCAGAGGATTCTGCCCCCCACCCTCTCACCACTGGCTCTCAACACATCTCTGCATCGGTACTGCCTCTCTTGAGCGCAATGCGCGTGCCCGCTCTCGCTCCTTCCCGGCTCTCCTCTCGCCACGTCTCTCTAGTTGGCTCTGTTTCTTTAGAAACAAACCCCTCTCTCTCTCCTGATCTTCTTTTTGTGGCAGGCGCCCTTTGCTCTCCTAATTATTAACAAACGTCACCATTCAACAGCCTGGCATCAAGCTTTAGCTGTCTTTCACCCTTATTCCACTCACTCACCCACTCAGTGACTGTTTGTTCCTGGCAACAACCTGTGAAAATGCATCAGCATTAAGCTGTCTCACCTGTCCTTGTTTGTGAAATCAGTGTTAATCTTTCGCTCGCTCTCATTAGCACTTTTCTTGGGTGGCTTTACTGCTAGGTCTCTGTGCGTCCTTGCTTTCTGTTGTGACTGTTAATAACGCTTCCATTCTCCGGTCTGCTGCAGTGCTATTGTGACTGCATGTGTTCTATTAGAGTGCACCGCTCAGTTAAAAACTGGAAGGTTGTATTTGGCAAGAACCCTGACAAGACTGTTTCATTTGGTAGTAAGTAAAATATTTGGAATATGTAAAAGCATATGCCCACAAGCATTGCCCCTTCAGAAGTTAGAAACACAATTTTACAGATTTAGGAACTGAGGCAGATGATGCCTCACAACCTTCTGGTTGGTGTTTATTTTTTTTTGAATATTCCCTCAACCACTCTGTTCAGCTCAGTTGAAACTCGTATGTTGGTTCTCCAAATGAGTTTCCTTTGTTGCTAAGTGTGTGTTTTTGGTGCTTTTGCCATAACACAGTGGTGGGTCTTTACCTTTTGTTTAATAACGCTCAATTGTCACAGATGTACTGGGAGAGCTTCTACTCTCTTAGCCAATCCTCTCTAGTATTTCAGTTGCTGCTATTCTCCCTCATCCTTACTCTCTCCTGATCCCTTGACCATTCTGCTTCTCCATTCCCTCTCAGTATAGTTGAAAGTGTATTGGAGTTGCTACCTCCACATCTCCATACTGACCTTTAACCTCTGTCCCCTAGCCTGATCCCACGGAGGAGGACATAGAGAAGAACCCTGAGCTGAAGAAACTACAGATCTACGGGGCAGGTCCTAAGATGATGGGGCTAGGACTGGTTCCCAGGAATAAGAGCATCCCCAAGAAAGGTAACACAACTCACACCCTTCCCTCCCTCACCACTGGGTGTGTCTGAAAAAGTAGAATCCGGTGCAATTTCAGATGCAGTCTCTTATCAAGTCATTCTGTGTTGAATGCTGGGTAAGGTTACTGCTGGTGTTTGACCACTTCTCTGATCTCCTTCCAGAAGAGCTGCCTCAGACTGTGACTGTCCGTGATGCAGCTGTTGCTGTCCAGAACAAGGAGGAACCTGGAGAGGTCAAAGAGAAAGAGGGAGACTCCAGCACAGCCACCCCCACACCGCCTCCTCCTCCTGATGTCAAGAAGAAAGAGGAAGATGATGTTGATGGTGGAGACGGACATGCTGAAGAGGACCAAGACGACCCTAACGGTGATGGGCCCTGCACCAAGATGACCATGAGGCTGAGACGTAATCTCAGCAACCCCCAGTTTGTAAGTGGCCTAGCTTCAATTTACCCTTATGGGCCGGTTACCCAGACATGGATTAAGACTAATCCTGGACTAAGGAGCGTGATCACAGGAGATTCTGTCTGGGAATCCTGCCCTCTATGTTATCTGATCCTAAATCAGATGTTATAGATAATCTAATCATAAGGATGACAATTTAAATGGAAAAATAAAGATAGTTGAACACTACATGGAATGTATAAAACATTATGAACATCTGCTCTTTCCATGAGATGGACTAACCAGGTGAAAGCTATGATCCATTATTGATGTCACTTGTTAAATCCACTTAAATCAGTGTAGATGAAGGGGTGGAGACATGTTAAAGAAGGATTTTTAAGCCTTGAGACATGGATTGTGTATGCGTGTCATTCAGAGGGCGAATGGGCAAGACAAAATAATGAATTGCCTTTGAACAGACTATGGGAGTAGGTGCCAGGCATACCGGTTTGTGTCAAGAACTGCAACTCTGCTGGGTTTTTCACGCTCAACAGTTTCCCGTGTGTGTCAAGAATGGTCCTCCACCCAAAGGACATCCAGTCAGCTTGACACAACTGTGGGACGCATTGCAGTCAACATGGGCTAGCATTCCTGTGGAACACTTTTGACACCTTGTAGAGTCCATGCCCTGACGAATTGAGGCTGTTCTGAAGGCGGGGGGTGGGTGGGGGGGTTGTACAACTCAATATTAGGAAGATGTTCTTAATGTTTGGTATACTCACAATATATGCTCCCAATTTAATGGGTAAAACATTTAAATGTACTATTCCATTAGTCAGCACCTTTCCAACATCTTTAGGTGTGCGTCAATTCATGCTTTTTACTGTCAATTTAAATGGAGAACTTAAATTCCATCTCGCTAATCTGTTCTGTTTTCTGCTAAGGTGGATTCATTTGTGTGTCGGATGTGTGGCCGTGGCGACGAGGATGAGAAGCTCCTGCTGTGTGACGGTTGTGACGACAACTACCACACCTTCTGTCTGCTGCCCCCCCTCACTGAGGCCCCCAAGGGCAACTGGCGCTGCCCCAAATGTGTGGCTGAGGTGAGAGAGAGAGAGTCATGGAGACCCACAGCATCCTGTTGTGTCAAACAAACATCCTTCTATGTGGGTGCAGCCAGCCGCAGTCTATTTTAAGCTGTTGCCTCTGTGCGTATTGTGGGGAGTCAGTAGATCATCCAAATATTATAAAGTCTGCATACAAAAATATCCCCACCAGAGGTGATTCCATCAGACTGACTTTGTTGTGAATAAAAGGCTGTGCGTGATGACGTAGTGCACATAAAATACTTTTGTGCATACTTTTTATGTACTGAATAAAAAACATGAGATTAATGTGTTTCCATTGCATTTTCCACTCTACCAATAGTTTTGTCACAAACTGTTGCGATAAATGGCAAACTTGCCCAATCTGGTTTTCGCGCATGCTGTTTAGACAACAGTTTGCTGATAAAGTGGAGACTGGACAGGTTAGGTTATATGAAGATGGATGGAAAATATCATTTCTTTTTTTAATTGGCAGCTATGCACCTGTCACTAGCATACAAATTAAGACTTGATTTTAGGACCACACAACATAGCATTGCTTGACTGCAATTTTACCTCAACATGGTTATTCTATCGTCAATTGCGCAAGAAATCATTTTTAAATTGTCATTTATAAAATTGTACCGACACTTCCTGTTTCCATCACACTTATGGCATGACTTTACTCCCATAAAAACTGGATGGAAACATGGTGAAGCAGTTTTCTGGTAGATGTAACTTGTACGGGAAAAGTGTGTGAAGGATGGAACCCAGGCTGATGGCCTGGTCAAGAGAGTTAGGACTATGTCTATCGAACACAGGCTTGACGTTTATACAATGGGTGGGTCTAATCCTGGACGCTGATTGGTTAAAACTGCTAAAGCTATGACATTGAAATGCCTTTTTACTCTGTTCCATCTCACTGCTCAATCCACTGTCTCATCAGCCCAGCCAGAACATTTATAAACTTGATCTCCACTATAAAAAGCATCTAGACATGATCTCCCATTTCATTTAGGCTAGCAATTGGTTTTCAACAGCGGAGATATGTATAAAGCTTGCTGTCTGTCTCTGACGTTTGCAAAATTGTTTCAATATTGAAATTCTATCTCCAGCTGTTCCTGTAGGGGTCGGGACGAGACAGGCAGGCAGCTTTTCTCAGCCAGATGTATACAAAGTAATGTCAATAGAAAACAGGAAAAAACGAAATGCATCTAGTTTGTAGTCTCTCCTGCTTCAGTTTGAAGTGATTGTGTTAGCTGTGTTGTTGGTTAACTCCTCTGAACAACAGTGTCCTGACGAGATAACACATTTTCTATGACAGGTGAAATCGCATCATTAGCTCATTGTTTTATCAATTTATCCAAATAAATGTCATTAGAAAACAGCATATGCAAATGAAGCTAATTTGTTGTTATTCTGGCTGCACTGTTTGACGTAACTAAGTTAGCCGTAGTTATCTAGCTAGCAAGCAAGGGATAAGAACGTTGCCAGCCATTATGGCAATAGAACATTTAGAACGAAGGACTGGGTCCTGTCTATAGATACAGAACAAAAATACTTAACGACTGGGCCGCGTCTCTGGCAACCTAACCGATAGAACGACCAGCCGGCTTGGGTAGCAACCCTAGATTTGTGTCGGGACTATATCTTGTAGAATGATGAAATAGTATGAATTAAATTCATCAAAATAATATTTTTAATGAAAATATGTCGATCATTATTTGAATATGTTGGTAACCCGTTGTATAAAAGTGATAATTACCCTCAAAGCCGGTGTTTGGTGGATATATTGGCACGTGCCAATATATCCTCCAAACACCTGCTTTGAGGGTAATTATCACTTAAGTAAACCTGTCAGGAAAATCACTGGGAATAAACTTTGTATTATATTCATCTGTATTTATGGTAATTGTTTTCTTTGCCTCCATCCAATCCATCTCTTCAATGCCCTCATGTCTGCCTCTCCTCTACTTCACTTCCCTTCCCTGTAGGAGTGTAAGAGGCCTGCGGAGGCCTTTGGTTTTGAGCAGGCTACCAGAGAGTACACCCTGCAGAGTTTTGGGGAGATGGCAGACACATACAAAGCAGACTACTTCAACATGCCTGTCCATGTAAGTAGACCTGTACAAACCTAAAAGACGAATGCTTTACTCTGATGTGGAGAGAAACTGTTATTCATTCTGATCAATCGGTTGAGTTTTTATCTTGTCAGTATGTTAGTAACAACCTTGGTGTGTGTAGATGGTTCCTACAGAGCTGGTGGAGAGAGAGTTCTGGCGCTTGGTCAGTAGCATAGAGGAGGATGTGACAGTAGAGTATGGAGCAGACATCCACTCTAAAGAGTTTGGCAGTGGATTCCCCATGAACAATGGCAAGAAGAACCTCTCACAAGAAGAAGCGGTAACTAGCTACTAAACGATCTTCCTTTCTGTCTCTCCTTAATTAAACTGCTCATTTCAATCCTGTATGTGTTAATATTTTTTCTCTACATGGTTCTGTTTCCCCTAATTGAGGGATTTACGAAGTTATTTACTATAACTTCATGTAACACAATATACAGTTCCTCTAAACCATTGCCTGTACATGACCCTCTCCTTGTCCTCTGTCTCCAGGACTATGCCCGCAGCGGCTGGAACCTGAATGTGATGCCGGTGCTGGAGCAGTCTGTGCTGTGCCACATCAACGCCGATATCTCTGGTATGAAGGTGCCCTGGCTGTACGTGGGCATGGTCTTCTCAGCCTTCTGCTGGCACATCGAAGACCACTGGAGCTACTCCATCAACTACCTGCACTGGTAAATAGGACACTAACTACTACACAGTACAGGACACATGTTAAATGAATAGGCAGTTAATATGTAGATGATTATAGATGTACTGACTGATAGATATGGTTAGTGTGACTAAAGCTCTTCCCTTCTCTTCCCCCCTCGCTGTTCTCCTCTCCCCCCTCGCTGTTCTCCTCTCCCCCCTCGCTGTTCTCCTCTCCCTCCTCTGTCCCCTCTCCTCCTGCAGGGGTGAGCCTAAGACGTGGTACGGGGTTCCCTCTGTAGCAGCAGAACGGTTAGAGGAGGTGATGAAGAAGCTGACCCCAGAGCTGTTTGAGTTCCAGCCTGACCTCCTCCACCAGCTGGTCACTATTATGAACCCCAACATCCTCATGTCTCACGGGGTCCCAGTGAGTAATGACACATGTACAGACACACAGTCTGCGCCCACACATGTACACATTGCACACATCTTCAAATTAAAGTGATGATGAGCGATAATACTGAGAGAAATGTCCATGCTGATAACCTCCTTTCCATTTGATTGACAGGTTGTACGCACCAACCAGTGTGCTGGCGAGTTTGTCATCACTTTCCCCAGGGCTTACCACAGCGGCTTCAATCAGGGATATAATTTTGCTGAAGCTGTCAACTTCTGCACTGCAGACTGGGTATGCCTCTATTCAAATGGGTGTTTTATGTGCTGTTTTCAAAATTCTTAATTTCCCTTTGGTTTTCTCTTTCTCCCTCTTTTTCCCTCTTTGTCTCCCTTCCCTCCGTCAGCTGCCTGCGGGGCGCTCCTGTATCGAGCACTACCGTCGTCTGCGGCGGTACTGTGTGTTTTCTCACGAGGAGCTGACCTGTAAGATGGCCGCCTGCCCAGAAAAGCTGGACCTCAACCTGGCCGCCGCTACTCACAGAGAGATGTTCATCATCGTCCAGGAGGAGAGGAAACTACGCAAGGGCCTGCTGGAGAGGGTGAGACTGATAACTGAAGTTGAGCGTGTGTGAGAGACGCAGGACTATATGTGGTTGGTCTGGGTCTCATATAGGACTCATTGTGGTTTGGTCACTGACTTGAGCAATCAATAAAATGACTGTGGTTTGTGTGAGCAATTGATTGTTGTGGTTTCTTGCGTAATATTGTCTGTGTTTGGTTTGAGTTTTTCAGAAATATTGTTTGTTGTGGTATGTTGCGTAATACTGAATGTGTTATCTTATATACAGTGTTGCTCGTGTGTGTGTTGTGGTTTCCTAAAGCCCTGTGTGTTGTGGTTTCCTAAAGCCCTGTGTGTTGTGGTTTCCTAAAGCCCTGTGTGTTGTGGTTTCCTAAAGCCCTGTGTGTTGTGGTTTCCTAAAGCCCTGTGTGTTGTGGTTTCCTAAAGCCCTGTGTGTTGTGTTCTCTCAGGGCATCACAGAGGCTGAGAGGGAGGCGTTCGAGCTGCTACCTGATGACGAGAGGCAGTGTGATAATTGCAAGACCACCTGTTTCCTGTCTGCCCTGGCCTGTTCAAACTGCCCTGAACGCCTCGTCTGTCTCTACCACACACAGGACCTCTGTAACTGCCCCACAGACAAACTCTACCTCCGGTAATACTGACTTCCTCGGTCTGTCCATCTGTGTGTATGTCGGTCTGTCAGTCTCTTTCTCTCATGTATCGTTTCTTTACCACTAGTGCCTCACCTGTCTCTTCTTCCTCCTCCCTACCAGGTACAGGTACACTCTGGATGAGCTGTTTGCCATGTTACATCGGCTCAAAGTGCGAGCCGAGGTGTTTGATTCCTGGGCCAACAGAGTGAAAGAGGCTATGGAGCAGGAAGCGGGCAACAAGATAGGTGAGAAATGCCATAGACCCAACCCATAAGATAAGAAGGTAGAACATGCTGATCTAGAATTGTGTGAGTTAGATGGGTGAAAATAACTAACAAATGTTCCAAAAAGTGTGTAATGACACTGACTGTGTGTTAACTCCAGGCATCACAGATCTGGAGGTGCTGAAGGCGGAGGCAGCAGAGAAGAAGTTCCCTGACAACGAGCTGCTCCAGAGACTCAACACTGTCCTCACTGACACACAGCACTGTCAGCAGACAAGCACTGAACTCCTCAACAAGACACAGACCAGGTAACACACACACATGACCTAAATCATATCTAACGCTGCCATACCCACAACTCCATTGAACTGCTCAGTGACACACTCACAGTAACACACACTGTTGTGTATGTGTTGTAGGAGGATGACGCTGGCAGAGCTGAAGGCTCTAGTGGAGAAGATGGAGAACCTGCCCTGTGTGATGAGCCAGCTGGAGGACGTACAGGTCAGTATCCACCAGCTGGACCACCAGAGGAAACCAGTAAACCTGCTGTAGCTGGAACTTTGTTAATGTCCACATCTCTCTTCTTTCCCTACTTCCTCTCATTCCTTTTTAATGCCCTCTCTCTCTCTCTCAGGCGGTCCTGCGTACAATTGAAGAGTTCCAGACTCAGGCCCGGGCTCTAGTGAGTGACAGGGACTGGCGGCGAGACTCCGCTCCCCCAGAACAACTGCAGGCCCTGTTGGAGCAGGGGGCTGGCCTGCCTGTCGATGCCCCAGAGTGTGAGCTCCTCAAGGGGCTGCAGGAGCAGGGCCGCTGGCTGGGTGAGGTGCGGCGGACCCTGGGGCCCGAGGGCGGTGAGATGACCCTGGCGGTCCTCAGGAACCTGATGGAGGTGGGCTGCAGTGTGCCCCAGAGTGTCTCAGTGGAAACAGCCATGGCAGAGCTTCAGGAGCTCCTGACTATAGCAGAACGATGGGAGGAGAAGGCCCAGATCTGTCTAGAGCAACGGTGAGGGACACAGAGGCCTCATACTGAATCACTTTTTCCATTCTCTTTCTCTCTATCTCCTCACTGTCTCACTCAATCGGTCTCTCTCTCATCTCTCATTTACACACTCAAGTTCTCAGGTTGTCTGCTCTTCCTAATGTCCCCTTTCTCTCACGGCGTTATTGCAGGCAGAAGCACCCTCTGTCCACCCTGGAGGCCATAGTGAACGAGGCCAAACTCATCCCAGTCAAGCTGCCCAACATCCTGTCTCTCCAGGGCTGTCTGAGCCGAGCCAAGGCCTGGGTAACTGACCTGGAGGAGATCCAGGCAAGTAGAACCAACTCCTACTGTCTATTATAACCTTATAACCACGTTCAATAGCAAACGTTGTGTAATGTTGCAGATAGAAAATGCATGAATACAGCGGACGTGAATTATTGTAGATGTCAGAGGCATGTTTGTTCAACATAATACATGTGAATGTTAAACAAAATTGTGCCCTGCTGAACGTAACCCTGGCTTGTCCTCTGTTAACCTCCTGTGCGTGTACTGTAGAATGGGGAGCACTACCCATGTCTGGATGACCTGGAGGGCCTGGTGGCGATAGGGAGGGACCTGCCTGTCAGGATGGAGGAGCTGAGGCAGCTGGAGCTGCAGGTAGCCAGCGCCCACTCCTGGAGAGACAAGGCCTCCAAGACCTTCCTGAAGAAGAGCAGCCAGCACAGCCTGCTACAGGTCAGAGAGGCTAGGGGTGGAGAGTGTGTGTGAGCCTTTTAGTTCTTTATTAACAGTGGTTAAAACGATTGGGATTTGCTGCACATATCAATCAGTCACACTTCAGGGAACACCAGAAAGAGTGAGAGACTGACTTGAACTCTCTAAAACTTGGGTGCATGTGAATATTGTTAGTGTGTTAGCCCTTATTGTAATTTGTGTCTGTGAAAGTGTGGCTCTTACTAACGGCATCATCACAACCTTTTCTTGCTGCAGGTGTTGTGTCCGTGTGTGGAGAAACGTAAGGAGAGGGAAGAAGAGACCGATGCATTAGATGACCCAGATACCAACACTCTGGGCCTCTCTGCTCAGGACCTCAGGGACCCTGGTGCCATTGTGAGTCTGTATAGAGTCTGGCCTAGCCAGACATTCTGGCTGTCAGGTTCTAGTGTGTTATTTACCAGTGTCTAATGTTCCCTCTAAGCTACGCACGGGCGCGCAGCTCCTCCGGGATTGCCGCGCAGAAGAGATATTAGCCCGCGCAGAGAAGCACGAGATTGAACTTCGCTCAACTTTCTAGAGTTTTCCCCTTTAGGTAACCTCTTAAGGATCGGCCCCTTTTTAAAAAAAAAAATCCTAAAATGACATACCCAAATCTAACTGCCTGTAGCTCAGGACCTGAAGCAAGGATATGCATATTCTTTTTTTTGAAAAGAAACACTTTGAAGTTTGTAGAAATGTGAAATTAATGTGGGAGAAAATAACACATTAGATCTGGTAAAAGATAATACAAACCAAAAAACATGTGTTTTCTTGTTGTTTTTGTTCCATAATCTTTGAAATGCAAGAGAAAGGCCACAATATAATATTGCAGTTTAGGCGCAATTTTGGCCACTAGATGGCAGCAGTGTGTTCAACGTTTCAGATTGATCCAGTGAAGCATTGCAATACTAGACTATTTTGTATCAAGTCTGCCCAAATGTGCTGAATTGGTCAATTGATACATTTTCAAGTACATAACTATAGAGAACATACAAAAATGATATGGTAATACAAAATGTAAGTTTACACACTCCCAGGAATGTCATACATGATGTATCATTAGCTTATACACTAACTTTCACACATCTAGATGGCGGGGTGGATGTGGAGCCAGAGACAGCAGGGTTTCAAACTGTAGAACCCAGTTCCTACGTTTGAATATAAAAATGGATTTTATCAAACAAAACTATGCTACATTTTATCTCTGGGACCCTTAGGATGACACATTTACATTTTAGTCATTTAGCAGACGCTCTTATCCAGAGCGACTTAGTTAGTGAGTGCATACATTTTTTCATACTGGCCCCCCCCCCCGTGGGAAACGAACCCACAACCCTGGCGTTGCAAGCGCCATGCTCTACCAACTGAGCTATAGGGGACTATCAGAGCAAGATTACTGAATGTAAGTACATTATTTACCTTCAGAGGTGAATGTATCAAACCAGTTGCCGTGATACGTTTTTTGATGTTGTGCACTCTCCTCAAACAATAGCATGGTCTTTTTTCACTGTAATAGCTACTGTAAATTGGACAGTACGGTTAGATTAACAAGAATTTAAGCTTTCTGCCCATATAAGACATGTCTATGTCCTGGAACATTTGCTGTTACTTACAACAGTCATGCTAATCACATTAGCGCACGTTAGCTCAACTGTCCCGTATACGGGACACGGATCCCATAGAGGTTAACACTATCAACGTTTCCCTTTACTGTGAGAATTGTGATAGAATCAACGCAATATTAGCCACTTTCAATGCGACATACCGAAACAAAACGAACTATGCAAGACTTAGTATGCAAAACGAACTATGCAAGAGATTTTGTTATAGGCAGAACCCGTTAGAGTAGGATTATATTGCACTGACACGCACGACTCAGCCCGTACTCTACACAGACCGATGCGGCATAACCAATCAGAGCTGCAGTAGGCCTATATGCAATTAGACTCTTGCTATATATGGATCTGTGCCATTCACTTTGACTGGACTGTGTTTACAGGATGAGCGGTCGTGAGTAGATGCGCTTGTTTTGAGATCAAAGCAAGAGCTGCATGTAGCCACGTGTGCACATTTTGTTCATATACTTAGCTAGTTAGTGAGTTATTAGCCCAGTTATAGATAATTTGTAGTCAGCAATAGGGGAGTGATTGCTTCCTACAAGAGCACAAAACATGTACATTTCTAGACATCTTTGAAAAGCCAGTCTGGTAAAGAGCTTTTTTTGTATTAAAGGGGCAGTGTTGTATTTTGAGACAGGCTTGAATAAGCTAAGTAGCCAAGAGGCAGAGGGTAGTATAATTTGCCTTATTCTCTGTAATAATGGTATGGGAATAATAATGCATTTTATTTTGTAAAGTGCTTTCTTGCATCAAACAAAACATTTTCAGTCACCTCCTTGTCTAAAGGACAAGTGGATAAACAGGTTCATGTCAAGTCCTGCGTTTTATTTCAAAAGTCTCATGGAATGTAGGCCTACATTGAACACTACACATTAGCTGTCTAAATGATAGAACGGCCATTTCCATGTAAAAATGTTATGGGATGCATCTTCTCCATTGTTTTTGATGGTAGGCCACTGATAGACATTTTACATTTACATTTTAGTCATTTAGCAGACGCTCTTATCCAGAGCGACTTACAGTTAGTGAATACATATATATATATATATATATTTTATACTGGCCCCCCGTGGGAATCAAACCCACAACCCTGGCGTTGCAAACGCCATGCTCTATCAACTGAGCTACATCCCTGCCGGCCGTTCCCTCCCCTACCCTGGACGACGCTGGGCCAATTGTGCGTCGCCCATGAGTCTCCCGGTCGCGGGCCGGCTGCGACAGAGCCTGGATTCGAACCAGGATCTCTAGTGGCACAGTTAGCACTGCGATGCAGTGCCTTAGACCACTGATGTGTATTATGTATGTATGTATTATTAGTGATGTATATGTATGTATGTTATGATGAATGTATGTAGATCTATAGATGTGCGTATGTAGTATGTATGTCATGTCTGTATGATGTATGTATGTATGTATGATGTAGTGTATGTTAGTATGTAGTATGTTGATGTATTGTATGTATGTTGGTATGTTGTATGTAGTGTATGTATGTATGTATGATGTTGTATGTATGTATGTATGTAGTATGTTGTGTATGTATGTATGTATGTATGTATGTATGTATGTATGTATGTATGTTATGTATGTATGTATGTATGTATGTATGTATGTATTATGTATGTATGTATGTATGTATGTATGTATGTATGTATGTATATGTATGTATGTATGTATGTATGTATGATGTATGTATGTTGTAGTATGTGTATGTTTATGTATGTATGTATGTATGTATGTATGTATGTATGTTGTATGTATGTTGTATGTTATGTATGTATTTGTATGTATTGGTATGTATGTTATGTATGTATGTATGTAGTATATATGTATAGTATCTATGTTATATATATATCTATGTATTATATATTGTATATATATATATCTATTATATATATGTATGTGTGTGTATGTATGTATGTATATATATGTATATATATATGTGATAGGCCTACATTATGATCAAATAGCCACAGTAGCCTACTTGACCACTGTCTGAAACTAACTTAAAGCGGGTACAGCCTCAGTGTTTACAGTAAACGCGCGTGGAAGTTGCACATCATTTTCACAGTTTTCAGCAGACATGAAATTTGCTCAGTGCTGGAAAAAGTTGGAGTGAACATTGCCAGTGTCGGTATGTCATAACCAAATTCAAACAACTTGATTTGTCCCGTTAAGGCAGTTTCTTTTAGGGCTACAGCGGGGCCTCAGACTCATACAAACAACAGGCAGAGACAATAACTAGACGAGACATGAGACAATGACTTAAAAGTACAGGGCAGTGCATAATCCGTATCTGTCCCCGACTAGGTGACGGCGTTTAAAGAGGGAGAGCACCAGGAGAAAGAGGCTCTGCTGAGGCTCCAGAAGGTCAACCTGTCTAAACCAGGTGTGGAGAAGACAGCAGAGAAAGAGGTAAAGACAGAGCAGGAGGACAAGGAGAACGGAGGTGGGAGGTGGGGGGAGGACCCCATGGAGCTAGACACACCCCTCCACGCTGAGAACAGGGACAGTAACCACACGACAACAGGCAGCAGCACTCCTCAGTCAGTGTGCGTGTGTGGCCGGGCTCCTCACCCCCCTCTGCTGCGCTGCCACCTGTGTAAAGACTGGTTCCACGGTGGGTGTGTCCCGTTCCCCTCCCTCCTGCCCTCCTCGTCAGGGCTGCCCACCAACCCCCTCTGCTGGTGGGACTGGGACTCACGCTTCCTGTGCCCGCGGTGCCAGCGCTCGCGGCGCCCGCGTCTGGAGACCATCCTGGCCCTGCTGGTGGCGCTCCAGAGGCTGCCTGTCCGTCTGCCAGAGGGAGAGGCCCTGCAGTGTCTCACAGAAAGGGCCATCACCTGGCAGGGGCGTGCCAAGGAGGCACTGGACACCCCCGAGATACAGGGGGCACTAGAGAGGCTGCAGGAGCTCAAACAGAACCAGCCACACAGGGAGGGGGAGGAGGAGGAGGAAGAGGACAGGAAGAAAGGGAACTCTGAGTCGGTGATAGTGCTGTCAGATTCAGAGGTAGGAGAAGGAGATGGAGTGATAGACCTCACAGAGGAGAACTCTCCCAAGAAGACGCTGAAGAAAGAGATGAACGGCGGCACGCAGGCTGGATGTGAAAATGGCGTAAACAAGAAAGTAAAGTCTCACCACAATGTTACAGGTTAGTAGACAACATTTGAACTCCAGTCCATGATGTAACTTTTTCCCTGTGTCTGACTGTACCCCTTTGTACTGTATACACACACACCATGTATCTGAGTGTATCCCTCTGTACCTCCACCCAGGTGTGGGTTCTCTTCTGCCGCTGGTCCCGTCACTAAAAGGCCCGGTGATAGAGCTGTCCCCGACCACCAGGACCCAGCTGGAGGAGTTACAGCTGGAGGGAGACCTGCTGGAGGTGTCTCTGGACCAGACCAGTACCATCCACAGGGTCCTGCAGGCTGCTTTAGCGCCACACAGACACACACTCAGAACACTCATACTGGTGAGAGACCAGGAAACCTCTAGCTTTAGCTGTGTATGTTGTATTAGCTTAACTCCTATGGTGTTGTTGAAATGTCCGATTTAGTAATAATTAGTAGCTCAATTACTTTAAAACTTTGTGTGGGAAGATACTTTTGTATATATACTGTATGTGGACACCCCTTCAAATTAGTAGAATGGCCTTACTGAAGAGCTCAGTGGCTTTCAACGTGGCACCGTCATAGGATGCCACCTTTCCAACAAGTCAGTTTGTCAAATTTCTGCCCTGCTAGAGCTGCCCCGGTCAACTGTAAGTGCTGTTATTGTGAAGTGGAAACGTCTAGGTGCAACAACGGCTCAGCCGCAAAGTGGTAGGTCACACAAGCTCACAGAACTGGACCGCTGAAGCGCGTAGCGCATAAAAATAGTCTGTCCTCGATTGCAACACTCAATACCGAGTTCCAAACTGCCTCTGGATGCAAAGTCAGCACAAGAACTGTTCGTCAGGAGCTTCATGAAATGGGTTTCCATGGACGAGAAGCTGCACACAAGCCTAAGAGCACCATGCGCAATGCCAAGCGTCGGCTGGAGTGGTGTAAAGCTCGCCGCCATTGGACTCTGGACCAGTGGAAACGCGTTCTCTGGAGTGATGAATCACGCTTCAACATCTGGCAGTCCGATGGACGAATCTGGGTTTGGCGGATGCCAGGAGAAGTGCGTAGTGCCAACTTTAAAGTTTGGTGGAGAAGGAGTAATGGTCTGTGGCTGTTTTTTCATGGTTCGGGCTAGCCGAAGGGAAGGGAAATCTTAACGCTACAGCGTACAATGACATTCTAGACTATTCCTTGCTTCCAACTTTGTGGCAACAGTTTGGGGAAGGCCCTTTCCTGTTCAGCATGACAATGCCCCCATGCACAAAGCGAGGTCCTTACAGAAATGGTTTGTCGATCAGTGTGGAAAACTTGACTGGCGTGCACAGAGCCCTTACCTCAACCCCATGGAACACCTTTGGGATGAATTGGAACGCCGACTGCGAGCCAGGCCTAATCGCCCAACATCATTGCCCAACCTCACTAATGCTCTTGTGGCTGAATGGAAGCAAGTCCCCGCAGCAATGTTCCAACATCTAGTGGAAAGCCTTCCCAGAAGAGGTGAGGCTGTTATCGCAGCAAAGAGGGGACCAACTCCATATTAATGCCCATGATTTTTGGAATGAGATGTTCGACAAGCAGGTGTCCACATACTTCTGGTCATGTAGTGTATGTCATGTTTTTGTCCTGACCCCTGTCCTCAGATTGAGCTCCAGGAGCAGAAGGGAGTGGGCCGTGGGGGGCGGGCTAAGGACTCCAAGAGGAAGAGGAAGAGCCAGAGGGGCGTCACAGGGACGGAGGGAGGACCCCGGTCCCAGGATGGCTCGGAGTGCAAGAAGACCCGGCACCTCAACCACACACCCCCTCACATACCCATCCAGACACACCCCTAGGTAACTGACCTCCTCGCTTTTGTTTTGTTATTTTTGTTTATTTTCTATTAGACCCTCCTCAATTTAGTTCAAGAAATGTAGACATTAGTTACAATACTTGTTTGAAAAAAGGTTAAGCAGTTTAACTCATGCTTCTCTCTCTCTCTATTCCTCTCACTCAGATCTTGTGATATGGTTATAGATGCAACTCTGAAGTAAAGAATGGCCAAACGTTTGGAGAGAAATAGAATGGACAGCTCATTCTGGGCCGGAAGACAGTGTCAAACTGTGGAAAGAAAGATGCAGGCCATCCCCCGGTCTACAGCTCCCCTGTCTACCCCCCGGTCTACAGCTCTCCTGTCTACTCTCCTGTCTACCCCCCGGTCTACAGCTCCCCTGTCTACCCCCCGGTCTACAGCTCTCCTGTCTACTCCACCTGTCTACCCCCCGGTCTACAGCTCCCCTAGTCTACCCCCGGTCTACAGCTCCCCTGTCTACCCCCGGTCTACAGCTCCCCTGTCTACTCCCCTGTCTACCCCCCGGTCTACAGCTCTCCTGTCTACTCCCCTGTCTACCCCCCGGTCTACAGCTCTCCTGTCTACTCCCCTGTCTACCCCCCGGTCTACAGCTCTCCTGTCTACCCCCCGGTCTACAGCTCTCCTGTCTACTCCCCTGTCTACCCCCCGGTCTACAGCTCCCCTGTCTACCCCCCGGTCTACAGCTCCCCTGTCTACCCCCCGGTCTACAGCTCCCCTGTCTACCCCCCGGTCTACAGCTCCCCTGTCTACCCCCCGGTCTACAGCTCCCCTGTCTACCCCCCGGTCTACAGCTCCCCTGTCTACCCCCCGGTCTACAGCTCCCTGTCTACCCCCCGGTCTACAGCTCCCCTGTCTACCCCCCGGTCTACAGCTCCCCTGTCTACCCCCGGTCTACAGCTCCCCTGTCTACCCCCCGGTCTACAGCTCCCTGTCTACCCCCCGGTCTACAGCTCCCCTGTCTACCCCCGGTCTACAGCTCCCTGTCTACCCCCCGGTCTACAGCTCCCCTGTCTACCCCCGGTCTACAGCTCCCCTGTCTACCCCCGGTCTACAGCTCCCCTGTCTACCCCCCGGTCTACAGCTCCCTGTCTACCCCCCGGTCTACAGCTCCCCTGTCTACCCCCCGGTCTACAGCTCCCCTGTCTACCCCCCGGTCTACAGCTCCCCTGTCTACCCCCCGGTCTACAGCTCCCCTGTCTACCCCCCGGTCTACAGCTCCCCTGTCTACCCCCCGGTCTACAGCTCCCCAGTCTACCCCCCGGTCTACAGCTCCCCTGTCTACCCCCCGGTCTACAGCTCCCCAGTCTATCCCCCCTCCTCTCATACACTATCACATTCAAACACTAACACAGTGATTCTCTTTTTGAGCTCCTACATCTATATTCTACACTCTTCCGTCTCATTCTCCATCCCTCTGTAACATACCAGCACATTCCTCTCTCTTCTGCCCTGTACTTTATACCCCCTCCCTCTCTTTCTCTCTATCTACCTCCCTCCATCCTCCCAGTGAAAGTGTTCGGAGTGTGCGAGCTGGCATTGTCATAGGAGAGCAGTTCTCTTGGTCTTAATTAGCGATACAGTTCTCTGAGGTCAGTCAGTCTGTCAGTCAGTCAATATGCTATGTGTTCTCAGCTATTTTAAATGCTAGTTTGACACAAGCCTGTCGAACACAGACAGACAGGGAGGTCCAGTTAAGTTGACCCACATACCCACTTACTGAAGTAGAAATGAATTATTTCATGATACATTTTTCTGGGGGTCAACTTAAAGCTGAAGTTAAGTTCATTGGAAGGTTGTGAATGACAGTGGATCCTAGGTGACGATGGTCACCATGGTAACGCTTGTATTTTTTTGTATTGTATCTTGTTCAAGGCTGGGCTGTCGGAGGGGACTTTGCATTTTCAATAAAGCCCATTTGGATATTTTCGGAAGTGTGAAAAACAGGCATTCATGTTTTTGGTGCTACTTTCCCAAAATAGGTATCTGTACCTCTCACCTCTCTCACATTCTATCTCTCTCTGTCACCACTGACTCTTTTCATTCTGATTTCCCCTCCTCAGACTAATTATTTTATTCTCTGTCCTGTTTTTCAGTCTGCTCCTGAACTTTCTTCCCTCTCCTTCCAAACTAAAGTAACACTTCACTTTATCACAATTTACTTTGTCTCTGGGTTCAAATTATTTTATTATTATTATTGATATTGCAGACATGCGGTTGTCATGAGTTTGTGTATAAACTTTTCATTTCAATGTTACCTTTTTGTTTTTCACTCGTTAGAAAATAAAGGTTTAGAATTGTTTGAGGAATCTTTTGACTCCTGTCCTTTTTCTTGTCCTTTTCATTAAATTATTTGACAGAATATTGAAAAATATTTCTGGTGCTGAATGGATCAGTACACCCTTTGTGTTGCGTGAACTTAAACCACAGGGGTAGTCATGGTGGTCCTGAGCTCCTGGCATCTCCCTTGGGACAGTTTTGAGCATGTTGCTGTATCACAGTATGACAGAAATTACGCAAACAATTCAAAGGACAACATCACTTAAATATTTTCATTAACAATTTATATAGAAAAGCTTTTATTGTAAAACGCTTATGGACCAGACATCACAGTATACTGAACAAACAGGGCCACATAGTTTTCTAGTCTAAGAATTGAACAAGTGAAGAACATGTCACATTATCACGTCCACAATTTCACACCAAGATTTTGTAACTTTTTAAAGTATATTTTAGAAGTTGTTACTTTTCACATTTATAGTCAACATGCAAGTAACTAAATGTTAAAGAACCACTTACTACAACGCATTGTTCTGTCATACTGTATGAATAAGTAACTCCATTGCAGAATACGATCGTACCAGTCATCAGACTCATTCAAGAAGATTTCCTCACGTCTCAACCAGCAGACATGTGGTTTTATGTGCTGAGGGATTTGGTGTGCCTTTTTTCTCACTGTGCTTCTCAATGTATTCATATGAGAACACATGCTTGTCAGAGTTTCATTCATTAGTCAATACGGCCCAGGCTCTGCTTTGTTCTTTACGGTGTTCTTGGGCAATGTGCTTTGTATAATCTGTATGTAAATGCCATACACAAGCTTATAAATTGGCATACGAGGCACTGTCCTTATAAGAATGGTCAATAACTACAGGTTGGTTTATTTCACCAGAGCTTTCTTTTCACTTGTCTTGCCTCCCTGCTTACGTTTATCCTTTTCCCTCAGGCAGAAATGACAGCTTGCAATATAGGTTATATCGGTAATTATAAACTGGGTGGTTCGAGTCCTGAATGCTGATTGGCTGAAAGCCGTGGTATATTTAAGCAATTAGGCACGAGGGGGTGTGGTATATGGCCAATATACCACGGCTAAGGGCTATTCTTAAGCACGACACAACGTGGAGTGCCTGGATACAGCCCTTAGCCGTGGTATATTGGCCATATACCACAAACCCCAGAGGCGCCTTATTGCTATTATAAATTGGTTACCAATGTAATTAGAGCAGTAAAAATAAATGTTTTCTCATACCCGTGGTATTAGGTCTGATATACCATGGCTGTCAGCCAATCAGCATTCAGGGCTCAAACGACCCAGTTTATAACAGACCATATACCATGAGTATGAGAAAGAAAAATACAATTTACTGGTCTAATTACGGTGGTAAGCAGTTTATAATAGCAATAAGGAACCTCAGGGGCTTGTGGTATATGCCCAATATACCACGGCTAAGGGCTGTATCCAGGCACGACGTGTTGCGTCGTGCATAAGAACAGCCCTTAGCCGTGGTATATTGGCCATACACACCTCCTCGGGCCTTATTGCTTAATTATGTTCTGCTCTTCTACATTGCACTATACTTTTCCTCCCTCTCTCCTCACAGGCTGTGGTGACTAAGCAGCAGGTGGTGCGGTCTCTCTCCATCTCTCACCCTTTCTCTCCCTCTCTCCTATGTGCAGTGACCATAGAGACAAAAAAAAACTAATCATGGATATAACCTGTTTAAGCATGGATATTGCCATTGAAGGCTTCCGCCATAAAGTAGTCAACTGGGTGGGGATTCCTATGGGTTATAGCCTCAATGGAGCTGCCCATGCTGTCACAGACGCTATAATGGCACAGATATAACAATGAGTCCTCTATTGATCTCTATGGAAGTGACAGATCACAGATTGTGTTGGATTTATTTTCCTCTAAATCAACCCCCTCCACAAACTACTTCTCCACTCTTCTCTTCCTATCTCTTGGTCTTCCTCCCTCTATACCTATCTATCTCCTCTCCCCTCTACATTAGACAGTGGTGACTGACAGCAGAGGGTTGTAAACCTTCTTCCCGTCAGGTGCCCTGGTCCCGTGCGCCAGTAGTTCCTGGATGGTGATCCAGTTGTCCAGGATCCTACGGCTCCGTTTCTTCTGGCTCCTACTGTGGCTCAGCTCCAGGATGGTAGTGGGCTCCTGTCCCTGTGGAGCCCCGTGTTGTCCACCACCACTCGACTCCCTCTCCCTCAGGAAGTCCAACCGGCTCTGCATCATAAACTCCCTACGTCTGCGCTGCTCCCTGGCCCTCAGCAACTGCTGCTTTCTTTCCTCCTTCGACCAATAGCGGCCCATCTTCATCTCGCTGACGGCGTCGTCGTCTGTGGTCATGCCACTGCGCTCTTCCCGGATCTTCATGGCCCGGGCCTTCAGGAGGCGGTCCCTAACGGGCCGCTTGGCAACATAGCGGGAGCCGTCGCTGCGTACTTTGACCTTCCACTCCATACGTGGCGAAGCCAGTGGCGGGAGGGGAGGGGGGATGGGTAAGGAGGGCTTGGACACAGGGCCCTGGTGGATGTCTTTGCATGTGCTCCCCAGGCTCATGGGACTCTCGCTGCCCTCCCTGGGTCGCTCCAGGCCCTCGGAGGTACAGGGGGACCTCAGCTGCATGCAGCTCTGGTAGCGCTGGGGGATTCTGGAGCCAGAGTGGCGGCGGGACAGATAAGGGCTGTTCTCAGCGCTACGTCCTCCTCCCCTTCCCTCTACTGTCCCATTGGTTTTGGGGCGTCCCGCGCCTCCGTCCGACCCCCTCCTGGCCGCCCCATCGCGGGATAGGGATCTGAACTTGGCCCCACCCAGGCTGGAGGTCTTTGCTTCCGCTCCCCTCCTGTGTGAGTTAGGGGAGTAAGGCTGGTTGAGGTTAGCCTGCCCCCTCTCTCCCCTCCTGCCTCCCCTCTCCCTGTGCCGGCTGGGGGTCCGACACTGTAAAGAGGCAGAGTCTCCCCCCTCCAGGCTGCTGCGGCCATGTGCAGAGGGGGAGGGGTACTGTTCGCTGACCAGAGGGGTGCTCCTGCAGCTCTCCCCTCCTGTGTTGTAGGCGCTGGTGCTGTCTTTGTCGGAACGCTCCCTCTCAGGGAGCTCATTAATGTCTGACAGCTCATGGTGACGGGACTCCTCGCTAACCAGAAGAGCCACCCGCCCAGCCCCGGCCCCACCTCCTGCCCCGCTCTCCTCCTCCTCCTCCTCCTCCAGAGGCCATGCCTTCAGACAGCGCTCCCGGAGCTGCTGCATCTTCTGGGCCCTCAGGATGTTACGACACTTGAACTCCAGGTGGCGTAGCTCCTCTTCCAGGAGGGCCATCTCATGCTGCATCAGGCTCTCATTCCTGTTGACATCCAGAGGAACCCCCCCATCGCCCCCCTGCCCGTGACCCCCATGCTCCCCCAGCAGCAGAAGAGCGTTGCCGTTTTTCTCGTAGTAGCACTTGATCTCCAGGAGCTCCCTGTACCGCTCACACTCTTCCTCCGTCAGGCCAGGCATCATCATCACTGGGTCAGCTGCGTAGACCCTCTCCCCTGCCAGGTCAACCCCCCCCCCTCCTCCTCCTCCCCCACCCAGACAGTCCAGGCCCAGCAGAGAGTCCGTGCTGAAGTGGAACTCTGTGGAGTGACCATGGAGCAGGGGTGGGGTGTCCCTGTCCCCCCGGCCAGAGTGGAACCTGCGCATGCTGCCGGGGGTGTTGGTGGCGTTGGTGGTGGGGGCGCTGGTCTGGTCGTCTCCCAGCAGGTCGTGTTCTGAGGACTCCTCGTTGCGGGTACTCTCGTCCGTACGGCCCACCCCGCTGTCCAGCTCCTGGCTGTTACTCAGCACCGTGTGGAGCAGGCTTGGAGAGTCACGGTGACCCCACCCACGGCCCCCCACCCCACCACCACCACCACTCACGACCCCTGGTTCTGCATCGAGCACGGAGGCCCCGTTCCTCAGCTGATGGGGGATTGGCAGATGGATGGCATTGTCCAGAACCTCCAGCTCCAGTTCATCTGGATCCAGCTGGTTGTCATTCTGAGTTGTAGAAGGTGTTTCACATAATGTGTTTATGTTGTTTGATGGCCGTTGTTGCATTGAGTTGAAGGTGTCATTGAGGTGGGAAAAGAAGCATATGAGAATTAAGCAGGTTTATTTTATTGTACTCTTTTGAACCTCATACAACATGTTAGAGGTACAGTGGGGGAAAAAAGTATTTAGTCAGCCACCAATTGTGCAAGTTCTCCCACTTAAAAAGATGAGAGAGGCCTGTCATTTTCATCATAGGTACACGTCAACTATGACAGACAAAATGAGATTTTTTTTCTCCAGAAAATCACATTGTAGGATTTTTAATGAATTTATTTGCAAATTATGGTGGAAAATAAGTATTTGGTCAATAACAAAAGTTTCTCAATACTTTGTTATATACCCTTTGTTGGCAATGACACAGGTCAAACGTTTTCTGTAAGTCTTCACAAGGTTTTCACACACTGTTGCTGGTATTTTGGCCCATTCCTCCATGCAGATCTCCTCTAGAGCAGTGATGTTTTGGGGCTGTCGCTGGGCAACACAGACTTTCAACTCCCTCCAAAGATTTTCTATGGGGTTGAGATCTGGAGACTGGCTAGGCCACTCCAGGACCTTGAAATGCTTCTTACGAAGCCACTCCTTCGTTGCCCGGGCGGTGTGTTTGGGATCATTGTCATGCTGAAAGACCCAGTCACGTTTCATCTTCAATGCCCTTGCTGATGGAAGGAGGTTTTCTCTCAAAATCTCACGATACATGGCCCCATTCATTATTTCCTTTACACGGATCAGTCGTCCTGGTCCCTTTGCAGAAAAACAGCCCCAAAGCATGATGTTTCCACCCCCATTCTTCACAGTAGGTATGGTGTTCTTTGGATGCAACTCAGCATTCTTTGTCCTCCAAACACGACAAGTTGAGTTTTTACCAAAAAGTTATATTTTGGTTTCATCTGACCATATGACATTCTCCCAATCCTCTTCTGGATCATCCAAATGCACTCTAGCAAACTTCAGACGGGCCTGGACATGTACTGGCTTAAGCAGGGGGACACGTCTGGCACTGCAGGATTTGAGTCCCTGGCGGCGTAGTGTGTTACTGATGGTAGGCTTTGTTACTTTGGTCCCAGCTCTCTGCAGGTCATTCACTAGGTCCCCCCGTGTGGTTCTGGGATTTTTGCTCACCGTTCTTGTGATCATTTTGACCCCACGGGTTGAGATCTTGTGTGGAGCCCCAGATCGAGGGAGATTATCAGTGGTCTTGTATGTCTTCCATTTCCTAATAATTGCTCCCACAGTTGATTTCTTCAAACCAAGCTGCTTACCTATTGCAGATTCAGTCTTCCCAGCCTGGTGCAGGTCTACAATTTTGTTTCTGGTGTCCTTTGACAGCTCTTTGGTCTTGGCCATAGTGGAGTTTGGAGTGTGACTGTTTGAGGTTGTGGACAGGTGTCTTTTATACTGATAACAAGTTCAAACAGGTGCCATTAATACAGGTAACGAGTGGAGGACAGAGGAGCCTCTTAAAGAAGAAGTTACAGGTCTGTGAGAGCCAGAAATCTTGCTTGTTTGTAGGTGACCAAATACTTATTTTCCACCATAATTTGCAAATAAATTCATTAAAAATCCTACAATGTGATTTTCTGGATTTTCTTTTCTCAATTTGTCTGTCATAGTTGACGTGTACCTATGATGAAAATTACAGGTCTCTCTCATCTTTTTAAGTGGGAGAACTTGCACAATTGGTGGCTGACTAAATACTTTTTTCCCCCACTGTATGTCTGTCATTGTTTATCTCAGTCACTAGATGGCGAAGGAGCCAAGTTAATGTGTGAGTTCATTACCATTTTAAAGGCATTTTTGTACTTAGGGGTATTTTCCACTGAGCTGTCTGGATGAATAGGTAAATTGGGCCTAAAGGTAAATATATGCACATGCATGCACACCCACCCAATTATACGCATGCACACACGTGCACACACACACATTACCAGTCTGTTCAGTGTGTTTTTACTACTAGTGAATAGTGTAGGTAGGATAATTACAAATGGCTTGTTTTGATAGGCTCCCTCTATTCAGATCCTCTGATATATTGATAAAACGTGTATGTAAATATTCTGGTTTAATTCAGCAAACAATTCACGCCTTAGAGTGGAGTTGACCACATTTAATTGATTTTAATTGTAATTCTTTTAATTTAATTAGTTTCAGGCTTTTGGATTATTCTTATTCTAACAACTCCTTTATGTATGTATTTATTTATTCATCTATTTTCCCAATACAGGTGAAATAACCCTTAAAGGTCCAATTCAGCCACTTTTATCTCAATATAAAATCATTTCTGGGTAACAATTAAATACCTTACTGTGATTGTTTTCAATTAAAATAGTCAAAAAGAAACAAAAATAGCTTCTTAGCAAAAAAGCAATTTTTCAAGCAAGAATTTTGCTGGGACTGTATGGGAGTGGCCTGAGTGAGGGGCCTAATGGGAGGAATATATAACCCGAAAACTAGCTGTTATTGGCAGAGAGGAGGGCAAACTCTCTTTGTTATTGGTCTATTAACTTATACCACCTGATGATGTCGGCGGTCCAAAAAACCCACCCGTACAAACGAGCTGAAATTTCAGGCGGCCTTTTCAAACAGCGCTTACACTAAAAGGATAATCATTTTCACAATGTCACAGTATTATTCCAACCTCAGTGTGGAAATATATATAAAACACAGTATTATTCCAACCTCAGTGTGGAAATATATATAAAACACAGTATTATTCAAACCTCAGTGTGGAAATATATATAAAACACAGGAAATCATGTTTTTGACTGCACTGCCCCTTTAATTTCTGCTCATATATTTCCCTCTGATGATTCCCCCTCCTCTGACCTCCCTATGTGAGACAATGCTTTATCAATATGAATCCTGTCATCCTATCTCAGTTTTAGCCTACCCTGCATCTCATTTCTCTCTGCAGATTGGAGGGCGCCACATGAGTAAAAGAAGATGAGGGTACGTGCAGTGCGTGACTGTCTGGGTAGCAACCTACATTTGAATGGCCCTCTCTTAAATCTGCCCTCTAGCTGAATGTGGGCTGCATTCCAATTTCTGTGTGTCTCAGAGAACATGTACAAACTCGTGTGTTGTGTTTGTGTCTATGCCTAATGCACCACTCTCAGTATAAAAAGGGTAAACTATTCTGCCCCATCTGGAGGTGTGTATATTATGGGATGTCCTGGGACTGTGTCCTCAGGTCTGTCGAGCTGTGACCTTGAGGGAAACAAAGCAATGCCACATTGGCACGTACTGAAAACAAGCAGGCTCTCCCTCTCCTCGCCCTCCTCCTAACGCTCGCTGTCCATCCGTCCCGCCCCCGCTCCATTTCCCCCTATCGGTCCTCTCATCTGTCTCCCTCTTTACTCCTCTCACCTTTCCTGGGTAAACAGTGTAGGGGGAGATGCAGAACTCCAGTCTTATTTCCTTTACATGAATGTCCCCTTGTTATAGAGGTACCAATCTGATCTGCCTTTGATTCTATGTTGATCAATTTGGTGATCTATGTTGAATTGTACTTGAAAGAAAATTGTAAATGGTGCTCTTGTTGTGAAAAAGACGTGTACGTAACATACTGTAGTTGGTGTGGTTATGGATGTCTTGTATGGAATTTGAGCCAGTTTGCTACAGCAGGAAAATAATCCTGCAGCAACAGGAAATGTGGATTTTAATTAATTGACATTTTTGTAGGTGTTGATACATTTTTTGTAAGGGAAATTCAAGTCTGAAATTTCAAAGTGGAAATTACAAACTTCAGAAACCTTTTTAAACCTTTTTAAATGTCCTTCTTTGCAGGAAATTATCCTGTAACAGGGTGATCAAATTAAGATCCTACATCTGTATGTCAGATGCTGGGTGTTTTGTTCTGGGAGAGGTTCTCACCTCTATTTCGGGCCGGGCCAGGAGCAGGGAGATGTTGGTACTGTCCTCCCTGGTCAGAATGGACACCGCCTCCTCTCTGTTCTGGATGTCCACCCCGTTTATCTGATACAGAATCACATCATAAATGTACTTTGACCCTTTTTTCTACATAGACTTGCTATAATATAGAACTTTGTCTGAAATGTTCTCTTAACAATCCTAATGTTCTCTTACCTGTAATATTCTATCTCCCTCTCGGATACGGCCATCCATAGCAGCTATACTATTGGGGTTGACCTGGAGTGAGAGAGGATTAGGTTAGCTGGCAAACAGAGCAATGATAACCCTCATCCTCACTCCCATCCTCCTCACCTCGCCCACATATATCCCCAGATCCTCCTCATCGTCTGTCCGGTAGCACACTGTTAACCCCAGCTTGTCCTGCTGACGAGACTTATACAGCTCCACCTCCTATTGAAATGTGTGGCATTTTGAGTGACAAGTTAAACACCTGAACACTGGTAATGGAGATAGAGAGGGCATGAAGAATGGGATTGTTGTTGAATTAGATGGTAGACAATTTGATTTGACAAGACGATTGAGACTTACCTCGTATTCTAACTCATCCTGTCTGAGATCCCCCTCCTGCTGAGTGATGTCAAAGTAGTTGTTGGGGTCATAATATTCAGGCTCTAGGAGACTGAGAATAAAACATATGAGAGAAAATGTCATGTGTCCCAATTTTTTTCTTGTCAGACATACAGACTGCAGCGCATTCAAACATCTTGGGTAAATTGAATCTCAAACTCTTCCACCCCCCCCCCCCCCCCCCCCCCACACCACCTCTCTCTCTTTTTCTCTTCCACACACAAATTCTCTCTGACCCTCTCTCTCCCTCTCTCTCTGTCCCTCTTTCTCCCTATCTCTCTCTCCCTCTCTCTCCCCCTCTCTCTCTCTGTTCTCACTCACAGCTCGTTGAGCAGGTAGGGTTCCAGGATGGGTGGCAGCGGAGGAGAGGGGGGCGGGTGAGGGGGCGGGGCTCCACATGGGTTGTGGGCGGTCCTTCCCAGGGTCAACATGTGCTGGAAGCTGATGTCAGTCTGAGTGCCGCTGTCCACACAGTCAGTCATCCCCCCTGTCACTGCTACTGTCCCGTCTAGCCCCGCTAGTCGCCCTGCATGTCCCGCCCGCCGCCGGGCCCCCCTCCTTAACACATGAGACAGCAAGGGGTCTTGCACATCCAGGGTGGGATCCCCAGAGAGACGAGACAGCTCCTTACCATTCACCTAGAGGAGGGAGGGTTCAAAGGTTAGCCAGAGGGAGATCAGAGGTTAAAGAGGAGGAGATGGTGGAGAAAGGGGGAGAAGAAAGGAAGAGTAGGGGAGTGGTGGATGATTAAACACAAAGGAGTACAAGGACATGGCACATACAGAGGAAGATGTACTGACATTGAGAGAGAGTAACACAAAGGAAAACAAGCAATTTATAGAGCGAGAAAGATCAAGGGTGGGTGGTAGAGATTGGACTGGTGTGTGATTACAAAACAGGTGTATATAAAGACCAAACAGGATAATAGATAGTAGATTTATTGAGCCACAATAGCGGAGCTCTCACTAGACACAGACAGACCAGGTTAGAAGGAACCACAACACAAAGACTGAGGAGGAGAATAGATGAACACAACATACAGACAGACCTAAAACACAAAGCCAATTTCAGTCATTCAGTCATCAATTAAGAGAACAGAGAATAACACAATACACCTCAACACATAGAGAAATGTGTAGGTTCAGTGTATATTAGTAATACACCCCCCCCCCCCCCCAACTAAAAATCGCATACAGCGGGGGAGAATAAAAACGTTATACTGAGACCTTCAATCGACCTTCTCCATCTAAAGAACACAGCATGTTACTTATTTGACCATTCTGTGGAGAGAGAGAGGGAGAGGAATGGAATCATTAGAGAATAGAAAATGAAAGTTAATAGGGTAGGTTCAGTGGGAAAAGTGAAAGTGTTATGTTGTTGTAAGGAAATGGGTTAATATTGGTTGAGATCATAGATTGCCTGTTGGCAGGCTAATCCTTGTATTAGTCCTAACTCCCTCTGCATGTGTCTAACCATGCTGTACATGATCCTCTTTCTTTCAACCAACACAACTCACATCCCTTGCGAAAAAAGATTGCAGTCAGAGTGCAGTATAATTGCAGTTTGAGAGCAGTATAACTGCAGTATGCTACAAATACTGTGTCCAAAATAACAGTTATTTTTACAACAGTAATTTTGCAATGTAACTGCAGTTAGAGTGCAGTATAACTGCAGTTCAACTGCAGTACACTGCAGTTATTCTGCAAACACGGCTTCCAAAATACCACACTCGACTGCAATTACTGCACTTTTCCTGCAGTTTCAAAATTGCAATATTTTTTTGTAAGGGATAGAATAAATCTCTGTGTAAATCAACATGTGCCAACCCAGCCTAATAGATCAACCCTCTCTAGTTCCCTATATCTACATGTCTGTGAAGTCAGTTCTCTCTCTCTCTCTCTCTCTCTCTCTCTCTCTCTCTCTCTCTCTCTCTCTCTCTCTCTCTCTCTCTCTCTCTCTCTCTCTCTCTCTTTGTATATATTGCCAAACTAGTTTAGTGGTACAGCATTTCAGTAAAGACAGTGAGGATGCAATGAGGATAATGAAATACAGTTCATTTCAGTAGTAATAATAATAGTACATATAATCATGTATACAGGTACAACACAACCGCTGTTATGTTGTGTAATCTTCGGTCGATACATTTAATTCAATAAAAAAAAGATTATAAAAAGAAAGAATGTCTAATAAATAAACAACAAAATGTAAATGGATGATGGTTACATTAATTCCCTGAAGTATTTCAATCGTATATAACAATCTGATTGATTTCCCTGTGTGTTTGGATAATACGGTTGTTTAGCGTTTTAACCTTTTCAGGGTTCAGCTCTTGGGTTTCTAGTGCTTTGAATTGTAAGGATGTTTTGGGGCTTAATTTCAAATGGTGCCAAAATTGTCCTTTTCTTTATATTTACAATTAAAAGGAATCTTCAGAGTTCCACTCTGCATGCATTATTTGGTACTTTCTTTTGGCTATTTAAGATAATTCTGCATGTACATTTTCTATTAGTTTTTTTTTTTCTCCCAATGCTTATAATCGTAATTACAGGTTTGACCCATAACCTTGCTTCCATACAGTGCAATTGGTAAAATTACACTGTTGAATATTTTGCACCAGATCTGGATATTATTATTTTTGATAATTTTATTCTTATGGAGTAAAATGCTTTGCAGGCTTTTTCTTTTAGTACATTCACTGCAAATCCACCAGAGACACAGATTGTTTTGTCCCAGGTAGTTGTACCGTTGGGCATGTTCAACCATGGTACTTCCTCATTTGAAGGGGTGTCTGCTGCAGATCAAGGGGGATTTAATATTAGGGATTAGTGGGTGTAGATCTGCTGGAGGAATCTGATTGAAACAGCAGGGATGTTGCTCTGGGGGTGACTGAACTGGCTCCGAGGAGAAGCAGTGATCGTGGTCAACTGATGCAAGACCCCACAACATTAAATCTGTTCAGAGGTGAATCATTTTACAACCATTTATGCCCCTCTTTTATTAAATGGTAATGAGCTTTTTGGCGTTCATAGAATCCACTGGTTGATGTCATGAGCCCACAGCTGTGCGTGTGTGCATAGACTACGTGCTTATGTGTGTGCGTGTGCGTTTGTGTCTGTTTTAATGGAGAGCTGTAGACAGTATTGAGGTGGTCTAAGTGACAGACAGACACCCACGCAGACAGACATTATGTTAGTGCGCTCATGGTCACACACTGACCTTGGCTGTCTGGGGATTTCCACATCTCTTTTCTCTCGCTCTCGCTGAGCTGCTTCTTTCTCCTGCCTGTTTGTCCTTCCCATACTAATGGCATGCCATACATCTCTGTCTCTCTCTCTCCCTTTTAATTAGTTATTTCAATTGAAGACAAATAAGACACGTAATTTTTTGCATGGCATCTCAGGCCATGCCAAATGGAGTTAACAGTGTGAAGCGTACCTGTATTTTTCATTTGTCAATGGAATTGTCCCCTACAAAAGCTTGTCATGCTACTGAATCAAGCATTTTTCTTGTATTGTCTACTCTTTCTTCCCCTCTCTCTTTGTCTGGTTCCTATTCCCTTAGTTTGTCTACACAGGATACACCATCATCAGGACCAATGTGGGATAGGGTATATAGAAGAATAGCCCTGTGGCAATGACTGACAGGTCTGAGAACACTCAGAAAAAGGATGTAGGGGGGTGCCGCTGCATTAATTATCAATGAGAGGCAGTGAGATTGCTTTGAGGTTGGCTTCGTACAGGTTAATGGTTGTTGTGCATTAGATTGGAAGGATAATTAATCTTGACATGTTGTGATGCATTATACAGCCACTGGTCAATTTTGTCAGCTGAGTTCATAACCTATAACCTCTGACTTTACACTCTTAGAAAAAAAGGTGCTATCTAGAACCTAAAAGGGTTCTTCAGCTGTCCCCATAGGATAACCCTTTGAAGAACCCTTTTTGGTTCCAGGTAGAACCCTTTTGGGTTCCATGTAGAATCCTTTCCACAGAGTGTTCTACATGGAACGCAAAAGGGTTCTACCTGAAACCAAAAATGATTTTTCAAAGGGTTCTCCTATGGGGACAGCTGAAGAACCCTTTTGGAACCCTTTTTTCTAAAAGTGTAGCAGTGTCCCATAGTATCCAATCACAGTCAAGTCGAATTGCAGGTGACAGAGCGAAGGGTATTTATTGATAATTCCTTCACTAAAGGTGTATGTAACAACAGGCAAATTGATACATTATATATTCCTTTCATACCCTACAATATTTGGAGTAGCACAGTAGGAGGGTGGGACAGGGTGGGGGAGGGTAGGGGAGGGTGGGGGAGGCGGTGGAACGAGGGGAAGGGGAGAAAGAGAGAGGGAGATGAAAGAGAAGCAGGGAGTTCAAAGGGGTGAGTGAAAAGCGAGGGAGAGACGCTGATGGAGAGCAGCACAGGGGGAAGGGGAGGTAAAATGATGAAGGGTGAGGAAAGACAAGGACAAAGAGAGAGTGAAGGAAGGAGCTTTCGAGGAATAGTAGATTGTAAGTAAATAATGAGGGTGTGAATGTCTCACAACTCCATGCTTGTTGGTAAATATTTTAAACACACAGAGGAACCCCCAGGGAGATGTGTTAGTGGTTGAGGCTTAATGAGGTTTTATCTCAGACATTTTAGCTGCAGATTGATATGTTATCTACAGTACACCAGACTCTGTGGGAGGGGAAGAATTGCTCCTGTAAAGGCATCCACGAAACAGTTCGAAAGAGTTAGTGCATATATTATGACCACATTTTGTGACGTTTTTGTTCGTTTTGGACTTCGGTAAGTATTTTTTTTGGTTGTTCAGGCACACAAAAATGTTTGATAGCCGAAGTCCTCACCCCTTCGTCGGTGATTGGTCAACAGTAGGGATTCATCTGTAAAGTCTTTGTTGTTTTTCAACCAGAGACCACTCCTTTTCATCCACAGTTTAACATTTAGAAATACTGCACCATACATCTTAGTTAGATGTCACATTGTGACAGAAACCTCACAAAATGTCATCATAATATATGCACAAACTCTTCCCAAATGTTTTGGCTGGGAAGCATGCGGACGCCTTTACAGGAGCAAATTTGCGCAACTAAGATCTCCTTGACAAAAACGTCAAAATCAATGACAGATTTCAGTTATCTTAGATTAATTCTGACTATTTTGAGTTAAGGCTTCTCAAAATGGACAAACAGTACTATTGCCGAACTGAAGAATGCTGACACCTTAAGTCGCTCTGAATAAGAGCGTCTGCTAAATGACAAAAAAAATAATAAAAATGAAGATAAAGACTGGGAATGGGTGGTGAACACCCACCCAAACATATGAGCAGTAAATGAGTATTTATAAAATGTATCGAATCATAAGCTTCATTCTTCCCAATGAATACTTACAATACTATAAAAATATGCATAAAAATTAATTATAAAAAGTCTGCATGGTTTCTTCCATATTTGTGTTCAGGCTTCATGCTGACCGTGCCCTGCATGTGCCCTCCACATATTGAATTCTACTTGTTGGGTAATTGATTTTTCTCATCTCCCATGCTTTGAAGGTTGTAAAAGTCACCTCTTCACAAAATCAATTAATCTGGAGAAATGTTCAGTGCCCTCTGATCCCAACCCCAGCTATTTGATATGACAAGGGAACATTTACATAGAGCAGTGGTGGAGCTCAGACACATGGACAACGATGAGCTGCCATTGATTAAAGTACTGCTAAAACAATTGGACAAATTAAAAGAACTAGTATTTGGGTAAATAGCAATACTGGAGGCATACCAGTAAGCAGATGTATTTTTAACAGATGTACACTGCCGGTTTTGCAGGTTTTCCTACTTACAAAGCATGTAGAGGTCTGTAATTTTTATCATAGGTACACTTCAACTGTGAGAGACGGAATCTAAAACAAAAATCCAGAAAATCACATTGTATGATTTTTAAGTAATTAATTTGCATTTTATTGCATGACATAAGTATTTGATACATCAGAAAAGCAGAACTTGATATTTGGTACAGAAACCTTTGTTTGCAATTACAGAGATCATACGTTTCCTGTAGGTCTTGACCAGGTTTGCACACACTGCAGCAGGGATTTTGGCCCACTCCTCCATACAGACCTTCTCCAGATCCTTCAGGTTTCGGGGCTGTCGCTGGGCAATACGGACTTTCAGCTCCCTCCAATGATTTTCTATTGGGTTCAGGTCTGGAGACTGGCTAGGCCACTCCAGGACCTTGAGATACTTCTTCGG